TTGGTTGAATTATTGTTTTAAGAGTTGTTTAATATAGGAAGACTATTATATGACTGTTTTGATCAAACAATTTCTCTATTGGGTTGCTTGAATCAAAACTGAGGCTCTATGCAAGTTTCTCGTATTGAAAAACTAAGAAAAACAACTTTCGTCAGTGCAGACAGGTCGACCGGTTGGGTAGACCGGTCACAGGTCGACCGGTCCGGTCGACCGGTTAGTGAAGACAGGTCGACCGGTGAGTTATAACGTCTCTGTCACCGGTTGACCGGTTGTAACGTAAAATGCATGCTGACATGGGAAAATCGACTCTGGATGCAATTAGAACTTTGGGAAACCTAATTGTTACAGAAGTATGACTTCCAAAACACTATAAATAGCCTATTAAGTCACATTACTCATTAGATCACTTGAGAGACTTTTTGGAGGCAATTGATAAAAGATTCATGAGAGGAAAAATTATTTAATTCTCAAGAACAATTTTTTCTTTGGCTCTCTTGTGATTGGAAGGAGATCAAGAATACCTAGAGGAGATTAAACGACGTGTGCCCACCCGCACACCGATTGTGGAAATGAGAATAGCAAAGAAGACCAGTTGGTTGAGGCTCTTCCGGTTGCTGTTTGGAACGCTTAGATTTGTCAGACGAGCAGTTTCCTGAAATCTCAAAAAGTTGTGTTTTAGATCTTTAGTATTTATGTTATATAGCATCATGAACATGTTCTTGTTTGGTTTTGACGTTGATTAAAATTTTTTAAATTCCGCTGCGCACTCGATGCCATTAATTTTCCAACAACAATATCATACCAAGTGGGGGTGTGGGTCGTTACATACCCCATTTAATTTTTATGTCACCAAGCCTGGCCCACTGTCCATGTATATGTAGGTCGTGCTCTTAACGTGCTTAGATCGTGCTCATACTTTTATCGTGCTCTTAAGTGCCTTTATCATGCTAAATAGTATATTTACAATAAATACGAGGAAATAAATTTTTAACATAATGAAAACATGAAAATCTTAACAAAAGAAAGCATATCATTAATTAAAAAAATGTGTCTTAATTATTATTAATGTAATTATTTTTTTACTTTTATTAAAATTTCTTAATAAAACAAATATTTTTATGACATGTAATATATATCAATAAAATTAGTTTTATACTTCATCTTCATTAATTGGACTTTTATCGTACCTTTAATGTGTCTGTGTTCGTGCTCGTGCTATGCTCTTAGCGTGTCGTGCTCTTAGCGTGTTTCGTGCCTAAAACTTACGTGAAGCCTAGCACGTTTAATAAACGGGATGGGTCAAGCTCATTTAATAATCATGTCGTACCCACTTTTTAACATGTTGTGCTCGTATCGGCCCGTTTTAACATCTCTAAAAATGAATAAAAAAGGCATCCATTTTCTATTATCGTTATAAATAGATTATAGATTATAAATTTTGAGTAAATTGGCTATCTACTTCATTTTAAATTCTAAAAGAAAAGAGAGAGAGAGAGACAAATAAACAAATTAAATCATGGTTAGAGGAAAACGAGACAAATACTTATTAGAATACATAAGTCTTGGATTTTTGTTCTTTATATTTGATTAATAAACTTTAGTTAAAGAACTATATTAGTTAAAAGGAAATTGATCAAGAGTAATGCATAAAATCTTAAATCAATATATTTTAAAAGGTGAGTTCACCAATTTTCTCTTTTTTTATATTTTATTTTATTTTATTTATTTTATTATTATTATTTATTTCCATTACAAACACAAATGAGAAAATTGCAGAAGTTGGGCTGACTTGGGCCAGAAACCAAGATGGTGACCACTGGCCAGCCCAATTGATTTCTCTCCTAATATTACAAGAAAATTACAAAAAGAAAAAAAAAGGCCAATTAGCGATTTCTCCAATGCTTCCTTAATTCATCTTTCTTCTTCATCTCCTCTTGTACGAGCTGCAAATTTGCTGTTTAGTCCTCTCTCTCTCTCTCTCTCTCTCTCTCTCTCTCTCTCTATATATATATATATCTTGTTTTTTTTTCACACGTAATTTCAAATGGGTTCTTCTGCTACTTTGAATGTGGCGTCACTGATCAAATTCACGCCTGTTTCTTCATCAAATTGCAATTTCAATGGCGAAATTAATTATGGGTTTCACGTCAAAGGAACCAAGTCGCTCACCAAGCTCTCAGCTTTCTCTCCCAATGGCTCTGTTTCTCGCTCTTGTTCCAATGGGGTTAGTCATTTTTCTTTTCTTTTTCGTTTTTCTTTTTTTTTTTTAATTTTTTGCAAATTTGTTTTTTCTTACAAAAGTGAAAACTTTGGGGTGAAGAGTTGGTTAATTTTTTTTTAATTTCATTAACTCGATATGCTGATTGAAGGAATAAAAGAATCATAATTATAATTGATTCATTAATTCAAGCATTGAGCTTTGGATTTTTTTTCTTCCTAGTTTAGGCTTTGAAGTCTGGCTTTTTATTGTGTGTAACTTACCAAAATTGGGCTTTCCATGATCTTGAAAATTGGGTAGTTTAGGACCCACATGGATTTTGATGCTTTTTACAAGAATGGAGTATTGCCCATTCTGTATATTCCATTAGCTTTCTTACGCAAGTTTGATGTTTTCTATTTCTCAAAAAAAAAAAAAAGGGTTCAAATTTTTGAATGTGTGTGGAAAGTGATGGTCTAGATGGAAGTAAACAGAAAAAGGGTTATCTTAATTTTATGAAAACTAACAATAGGAATGGACGTTGATTTGACGTATATGAGTTTAATAAGAGAAATAGTACTTCTTTCTTAATGAAGTATCATACTTTCCTCATGTTTCAACTCTAGTTATCTTCATAATAAAGTCTAAAGGTCTCTTGTAGCAAAAACACTGGAATGTTCTTTCGACTTGCATTATCTTTGTCTGCCAACTTGGCTTTGAGCAGATTGTACTTCTTCGTAGCGTTATGCATTGTACGGAGAACACTAATCTAGAGAACTTGGAGAGTTAAGGGAGAACTAATGGATGATAAGACAATAATGGTAAAATAATTGAATTTGTCAAATGAAATCAGGGCTTTTAGTGAATTGTGGCGCCATTTTGAGTGTTCTTGCTGCATAGTCCAATTATCTTTCATGGGAATCACAAAATTGTTATACCTTGATCAAGCGAATTTAAATCTTTGGGAATCCTAGTCACCTTAAATTGTTTATGTAACATGTGATGTGTTATCGGTTAAGCAGCAGCCTATCTGCTTGATATTCTCTGTTGAGTTTTTTAATCCTCTTGTATCGAGAGCTTCAAATTTAAGTATCTTTAAGCTTTTATTGACACAGACATGTGTTGGTTTCTTAAAAGACAATTTTGTAGTTGCTTTCTGTTGCCCCTATTAGTTATTTATGTTTGCATTTAGTTATTGAAGAATTAACATTCTGGAGAAGTTAATTAACTTAATTTAACAAGCGCCTGTACTTGTTTGCATGCACATGCACAGTGGACACCTCTACATGCTTGTGTGCATAATGAAGATATAACAATTTTCCTCGTAGTCGTGGGACTAATTAAGATGGAAACTGCATTTTGTTGCTTGTTTGCATCATGGTTAAATTTTTTCAAGGAATTCTGTTTAAGAATATGGATTTGTTAAAGAATTTCTGTTTAAGCTTACAGGCTGCGAGTTCAGTGGGAGATGCGCATAGACGAAGAAGCAGTCTTGAATCCCTGTTTTGTTATGATAAGGCTGTGCCAGAAGAGAGAATTGAGAAGCCTGTTGGAATATCTTTGGCTGAAAAATTAATCGGAGACAACCCCCGATGCAATGATTGCCATGCAAAGGGTGCCGTCCTTTGCTCCACTTGCTCTGGTTCAGGCTTGTATGTTGACTCAATATTGGAGAGCCAGGGGATTATTGTTAAAGTCCGGTGCCTAGGTAAATTTCTTGCTCTTATTATAATTGAGTCTTGTATTCAAGCTGACCTGATCCTAGTTCACTTAATGATGTTCTTGTTTTCCTTGAGAAGGATCAACATTGCTAGACTTCTTTTTTTTTTTTTTTTATAAGTTGAGCTAGGGTTCTTGTGATCGAGCAAAGGGCTCTTTTTCTTTCTCCATTCATTTGTAGTAATTAAGAAAATAAGAGAAGCTTAAGAACACAAGGGTTTTTACATTTTAGAGTACATACAACTTTCGATTCTATTTTGTAGGCAGGTCTGGCCCCGTGGACACTTTTTGCTGCCGTTGATCTTCTAGTCTTTTTGGGTTGCTTACTAAAAATGTGTGAATATGTCCTTTTTTCCCTGGGTGGGTCAATGTGTCTTGTGTTGACTTCGTACATGTTATTAACATTATTCCTTGTCATTTCAATAAGTAGAATAGATAGAAGATCTATATGATATGAGACGTTTATTGCTTATTCATTCTTGAGTTAAAATATAGCTAACCCTGTTGCCACCTTTTCTCTTCTTCTTTCTTTTCTTCTTTTGGGTTATGGGTGAACGTTAGGATCTCTTATGTAAGATAACAAACCATACCCAAAATAAAAAGTTGTACCATCAATCGTGTTTCGTGTGTGTTTCAAGCAGGGAAAAAGAAAAAAAAAGCTTTGTAGTATATGTTTAGCATTAATTAACACACCCGGTTCGTTTCTTTTGTGTGTTTTTAACCTCAAAATTCATGGTAAAAAAAAAACCATAAAAAGCTCTCATATATGAATCATAATGCATATTAGAATAGCTCATGAGTAAAAGGAGTAAAGTTGTGTAAAAGATGTAGAAATAAATTTTTTTCAAAAATAAAATTTAGTGGGGGCTTGTATGAAAAAATAAAATTCTAGTAGGGGCAAAACTGAAAAGTTTAATTTTGTAAAGGGTCAATTTTTATTTTTGAAGAAATCAGTTGGGGCGGCTGCCCCACTCGTCCTTGAACAGCTCCGCCCCTAGACTCAACGACATTGGTGTCAAGGTAGTCAATCCGCAATTTTTTTTTTTATATATTTTTTCTTTTCTTTTTTGCATTTGTTAAAGAAAAAAATTTGAGTTGTCCAGGGGAGTATGTTCAGGAGTGTCTCCTCTCATTTTATTACATGTAATACAAAAGACTCATATTTAGCAGAGTAGAGACTCAGAGTGCAGTTGAAGTAAATTTTTGTACTCGACTTCTTACAAGTAAACAATAAAGTTGCTCAAAAACCATTAAGAGTATCATATTCCATTAGAAAACTTAACCTTAAATTTGGAGTTTTTGAATATCTTATGTTTTCGAACCTTGGTGATATAACTTTTTGTGTCTGAATTTGAGATCTCTAGTAATAACAATCGGATATAATTCTCGTATCTCGTTCTATGAAAGCCGAATAGACAGTTCTGACATTGCGGATTTTGATCATGTAGGTTGTGGGGGAACTGGTAACATTATGTGCTCAGATTGTGGAGGGCGAGGTCATCTGTGACTAAAATGACTGCTGTGGTTCATGTCTCTTCTTCTGTTGGATTGATTCTTCTTTTTCAAGTTGTATACTGTAATATCTCACAATTCATACTCTTTGTAGCCTTTGTTAAATTTACATGGAATGGAAGTAATATTGTAATGCATTTGATTCCATTTTTCTTGTGCAAGAGTATCTTTCCCTAAAACCTTTGATGTCCTCTTAAGATCTATAATCTGTATGTAACAAGCATAAATCTGCATACCCTATTTGCCTTATGATATAAAAATTAGTAAAGAGCTAAACCATTTGTCCCCCAAAAACTCTTCGTGGTTTGGACTTTCACTCTAAAACTACTTTTCTTGGCGATTTTAGTCCAGAAATTTTTAAAAAGTAACAGTAACTCTAATTATTAAAGAGGGCTGGGGAATTCTTGAACTAAGTTACAGACTAAATTGCTATAAAGTACTTTGCCAAGGGACGAGTGCCAAACATCGAGAAGTTTAGGCACGCATGCTAAAAATTACAATTATCCCATTCGAAATTGTTACTTGCCTTATATTTTTTGATCCAGGGACTAAATTGTATTAAAGAAAAAAAAAAGTAAAGAAAGTCTCAAACGAAAAGAAATTAAGGGGTGCAGGGGCCAAAAGCTTTTTTTTTTTTTTAATATATACTTGTAGATTCTCTATCTTCTTTACATTTTTTTTTTTTTTGAAGGAATACATCTTTACATTTAAGAACTTAATAGGGAACATAAAACAAAATCTATTATTTTGTTACAAGTTCATATGTTCGAAGTCCATACAAGAATTGGAAAAGAAAACTGGGTTAAAAGAAAATCTTCAAGCAGCTACTTCTGGCGTATTAGTTAGGACGTTGTTCTTGGCTTGTGCTTATCAAGCTTGAACTCTCCGAAGCTCTTGAATGCGAGATGGAATGGTGGAGTCAAACCGCGAGTTTTGTGGATTCTCAGCGTAAGCCACGTAGTAAGCTGTGAGGCTTGCTTGTTGCCATGCCATGGCTATCCGACTCTGCAACAGAACAAACTCTAAATCAGAATTACAAGCAGCAGAAGAAAGAGAAGTTTTAAGTTTCCAATTCCGAATTACCATGAAGTAACCAATGAAGAAGGCATAAAGTGAAAGTTCTGTTGCGTAGCTCTTGTGAACCGCTAGTGCCCATGATCCGCTCACTAGGCTGCAGATTGCACCCACTGCCACCCCAGAGAGGAAACAGAAAGATCCCATTAGATCCGAATCGATCAGCATTTCCAACTCGGTCCTTCTGAACACGCTCCACGCATCCATTGATGCCTGCACAAAGCCCCTATTGTAGACTCCCACATAAACAAAGCCCCATCTATTCCCATACATCACCAGAGTGGAAGCAACCCCCGCATAGCAATTGGCGCACGAAAACAGAAACTCATCCGTGTCCCCTGCAATCAAGGATACGAATATCAGTGTTTATAAAAACATCGATACTTTTGGGGAACATATCAAGAAATATCAAAAAATTTTAGGATGATAAAAGTAGTAGATTTATGGATTTTTGGTCCTCGCCTGCAACCAATTTCATGGCTCTAGAGGAACCCCAGATGAGTCCTAGAACCGGCGCGAGTGACGAGCCTATGCACACACTTCCCATCAAGTGCCAAAGCGTGTCGCGGAGCGCAACATGTGCGTCGACATCAATCCCACACACCAAATACATGTACTTCACACGTGTGATTGAAGCCATCATTGTGTTCCTCATAACTTGCATAGTCCAAGCCAGGCTTAGCAGGATTATTGAGATGAACAAGGCCTCAAACTTGGTCCCCAAAGCCCTTGCTCCACCAATACCAATCACCAATAAGCAAGAGTAAAGAAAACTCACAAGCATTGATAGCAAGACCAAGGAAGTAGCTTTGGGCGGAGGTGAAGCAGAATTGGAAATTTTCAAAACCCGAATCGCATAATCAAATCGGGGACTGGCCCAGCAGCCATAGAGTGACAGAACGACCGAGCAGAGGAGTGCAGCCATGCCTGCTCCCAGGCTTACTGAAGAGCCAATGGTAAGAAGGAGCAAAGCAATTGCACATGTCAACAAGGGGCTAACCCAAAAGGCTGCCTTGAATGCTTTGGAAGTGTTGATGTCTGCGAGCCATTGCCATACTGAAGAAAGAATGGCAGCACAGGCTGTGGAAGTGAGAAGCGGCGGGTACCATTTGGTCGCGTGGAGATGACCGGAGCGGAGGCCTTGCACTGCTAGGAAGATTACTAGGGCAGTAATCAGGATTAGGTGAAAGAGGAGGAAAAGAAATCCCAAGAGTCTTCTCATGAATCGACTCGCGGTTATTGTTGTTGTTGTTGATGTTTCGGTTAGGATGCTTGGTTGTTGTACCTGTGACAATTGTGAAACATCTTGGTATTTTAATGAGAGAGTCAAATGGGATAACAATAATAACACAGGTTGGTATAGAAAATTGTTTTTATGAAGAGAAAACTTGAATTTTTTTACATGGTGACCACTTTCACATAGTGTTTTAATATATTCAACTTTCTTTTTTCTTATTTGAGTGCATTGACTGGGGAAAAAAATATGAGAGAAAAAAAAATTTAAAAAAAAGTTCTGATTTGACAAGAAAGACGAGCAAGAACAATAAATTACGCTACAGCAACTTCAAGAAGATGGAGACAAGAAATAGAGGAAGAAAATAAAGAAGCAAGAAAATGTTCTAGAGAGAGAGAGAGAGAGAGAGAGAGAGGGAGAGAGAGAACAAAACCAAGAATATGTTGAAAAGAAAACAAAAGTACCTTGGTGGGAATTGAAGAAGAAGGAAGCACAAGTTGATGAGATTGGATTTGCACTTTGTTGTTGGTAATACTAGTAGTAGATGTTGAGTGTTCCATCAAACTCGCCATGTGATCATAACCATTTCACTTCAATTTATTGAATCTCATTAATATATATACATATATGTGTGTATATATATATATGTAAATATGTGTTCTTGTTTCTCTTCACAATTCTTGTGCATTTCTTTCCACTTGCTTGGCCTCCAAGACTCTGGGGGCAAAAAAAAAGAGGACGAAAATTTCCCAGTTGTTATTGTTCATACTCAAACCACATGGCTCTAAATAAATGCTTGTTAAGGTCGTCTTAGGAAGTCAACATGGATAAATAAGGTTCATTGACTTGGTCCTATATTTCTTTTCACATTTCTTTCTTAACTGTTAGGAGAATTCTTTTATAAGATACTAATGATATTGTTGTTATAGCAGTACAATAACAAGAAGGTATTTTTTTGGTATCTTATTAAAGAATTCTCGCATTTTCTTTTTCTTTAATATGTTTATGACATGATATGACATAAAAATATATATATTCTTATGACTATAGTCTATTATTAACTTGTTTAAAATTACATTACATGCATTTTTAAGTGTGAAATTTACAGCTCATTAATTTGGTTAAAATTTGTTATCTTCTTTTGCCGTGGAAGAAAGGGACGCGGGTCTTTCCTCGTGATCGTTTTCCTTTTAAATTCCTTTTTGCTTTTTGGTTAAAAAAAAAAAAAAGCCAAGCAAAAAAGCATTTTTCAAAGGAGGGTAAAGAAAGAAAAGCCACTTTCTTCTTTAAACAGATTTTCTTTTCATTTTACCAATAGACAAAAAGAAGAATTACAATTTATGTAAACTTGATTTTGAGAGGTGGACCAATAAGATGGGATTCGGAACTAACCAGAGATGATTGCACGACAAAATACTTATTGATAGTGCACATCATATTATTATTTAAAGTTAAAAGGAATTTGATGGTTTGAAAACAAGCATTACTCATATATCTATATCTATATCTATATAAATAATATATCTATATACCACTTAACTATTGTGAAATTTATTAGAATCAAATGTAATAATTTGCTACTAAATAATTCGAAAGTATGGTGTTTAGATGGTTACATATAGGAGTAAAAAAAAAATCCAGTAATCCGAATAAAAATATATCTAATCTATCAAAACTCTACCAAATATTTCTAAAATTCTTTTTAGTTTAAGAAAAAACCTAACCTATCCAAATAAACATTTAAGAACTAATAAAAAAGTATCCTAGAAGTAATAAATAGTAAATACTTTGATTCCTCTTAAAAAAAAAAAAAGGTTATAACTATTACACAAAATTAAGGACCAAATTACAAAAAGCAAACATATTTAGACACAAAATCCCAAACTATAAGAAGCTAAGGGGGGTTCTACCAAATAAAAAACTCAAGGAGGGCACAAATGCAATTTCGTTTTCTATTGAGTTCAACCATTTTCTAGGTCAGAGGCTTGCCAGGTTGCAGCCAAATTTCCCGCCAGTTTTGTACAGAAGAGAGTCAGTCTCTCTCTCTTTTTCTCTCTGCTTTCTCTCTCTAACTTGTGAAGTGAAGTCTGCGTAGCTCAATCGAAGAAGAAGAAGAAGATGTTGTGGGTGGACAAGTACCGTCCCAAAACCCTAGACCAAGTCCTCGTTCATCAAGACGTCGCGCAAAACCTCAAGAAACTCGTACTCCATTTCTTTCTCTCTTCTTCCAATTTTTTCAATTTCTTCTCGATTCTTCTTCTAGGGATCTGATTTTCGCCCTTTTTCTGTGTCAATTGTGCAGGTCACTGAGCAGGATTGCCCCCATTTGCTCTTCTATGGCCCCTCAGGCTCTGGCAAGAAAACCCTAATCATGGCCCTCCTTCGCCAGATCTTCGGTTCCAGTGCCGAGAAGGTCCTTTTCTTTCTCATTTCTTTCGAGTGTATTTTTCTGTTTGGTTACTGGGAAAATGTTTGAAAACGGGAAAATGCATTTTTTTGGTGTCTTGATCAAAGATTTTTTTTTTCTTTAACGATCTAAAAAATAAAATAAATTTAGGAAATATTTGACCGTACATTGACGTAAACTGAGTACTTGTCTCTCGTTTTGCAGGGAAAAATGCTACTTCACATATGTGCATATATATATATATATATAATGTGTATGTATATATATGTATTATACTTTTGATTTTGGGCTTAATCAATAATTTTTATCTCATCTTATTCTTTAAAAGAAGAAGAAAATATCAGAAATCTGCTTTACCTTGTATAACCAAATTATACTGTGTACCTTAAGTGAGTCTATTAACCAAATGCAGAGTTATGGCCTGGTTCTGTTTGTTTTACTGTTTTTGGTACTTTGAACTATGTGTTGGATTTTGAGGGAGTCTCTTCATTTTGGTTGCAGGTGAAGGTGGAGAATAAAACATGGAAAGTTGATGTAAGTTTTCATTTTCAACGTACTTGCCATAGTTGTGTGGTTAATCTAACTTCTAGCAATGCAAAATGATAGACCTGATACTGATTTTGTTTCATTGCGTACATTTTATTTTAATTAAGAGTTTTAATCATGAAGGTACATCTGCTCTCGAGTAGAATTTCTTGTGCTGAAAAAGTGAACATCTAGAAAAAGAGTAGATCAACTTTTACCATTTACATAGAAGAATTCTGGGGTCACCCTTTCTTTCTTTTCCTAAGCGGTGGTTCTTGGCTGAATAGTAATTATTTTCTCTTATAACTGCTTCTTTTCATATGGATTTTTTCGGGAGTTTGAATTTTTGAAAGGTAGTTGTATCCCAATTTGATTTAAAATATACGTAGTAATACAGAGGTTGATACATTTTTTTTGCTACCATTAAGTGCTGGGTTAGTTTTTCTGCATAAGCTATCAGACTAAATGCTTTGCTTTTTATTCTCAGGCTGGAAGTAGAACTATTGATCTAGAGCTGACCACATTGTCAAGCACCAACCATGTCGAATTGAATCCCAGTGATGCAGGATTTCAGGACAGATATATTGTTCAAGAGATAATCAAAGAGATGGCCAAGAATAGACCAATTGACACAAAAGGGAAAAAAGGATTCAAAGGTAGTATTAGCAGTTTACTTTTTGTCATTCAGGTGCTTATCTAACAAAAAAAGGTTTATATTTGTTAGATCTACATAGAGGTTTCTTATTTCTTATAATGTATCCATTTCAGCAGTATGCAGCAGGGTTCTGGAACTTTTAGTTGTAGGAACTGCATGTTTCGCTCATGATGCTATGCTTATGCATATCATCAGTCATCACAAATACCGAACTTATTTATATTTTATATACATATCTCTGTGTGTGTGCGCGCGCGCGTGTGTAATGCATACAAGTGGTTTAATATTTTGATTTGCAGTGTTTCTTCAGTTTTACTTTGTCTTTGTAAGTGATGCCGTATTGTCCTGTAATTTCAGTCTTGGTGCTCAATGAGGTTGACAAACTTTCAAGAGAAGCACAACATTCTCTTCGGAGAACAATGGAAAAATACAGTGCATATTGCCGGCTAATATTATGCTGTAACAGTTCCTCAAAAGTTAGTGAAGCCATTAGGTCTCGGTGTCTAAATGTGAGAATTAATGCGCCAACAGAAGAGCAGGTTGGAATTTTCTTGCTTCCTATAGTTTATCCCATATAGAGGGGTTTCTACTGCTTTACTTTTTTTTTCCTTTTTTTTCTTAGAAACTCTTTTGTTTCCTTTCATTTTTCATCAGGGTGGTTGCAATGTCTTCTTCTTGTCTGTGTTTGCGTGTGTGTGTGTGTGGTGTGAGGGGATTCTTCCTTTTTTTCCCCTTTTTCTTGGTAGCCATTATTTTGCCTCATTAAAGACATAACAAAGTGCTTAGTTTGATTGAGACTGTTGATTATGCCCCATAAATGAACATAAGGCTGAAATATATCCTAATGAAGGCTGCTTTTTATGCCTCAACAAACAGAAAACTGAGGCATATTTTATTTGGACTATTAATAGTTGCCCTGTAATGAACAATCTTAAATTCTATGTGACAGATTGTTAAGGTTTTAGAGTTTATCGCGAAAAAAGAACGGCTGCAAATTCCCTCTGGATTTGCTGCTCGTATAGCAGAAAAATCAAGCCGGAGTTTAAGGAGAGCTATACTGTCATTTGAGACATGCCGCGTTCAACAGTATTTTCTTTTTCTTTCCCTTCATTTAGTTGTTTAAAATCATACATTTCTTGCTATTTCCTATACTTATGATCTTTTCTTTTTCCTTGTTCTGTAACTTGCGGATTCAGATATCCTTTTACAAGTAACCAAATAATACCACCAATGGATTGGGAGGAATACATTTTTGAAATTGCTTCTGATATAATGAAGGAGCAGAGCCCAAAAAGGTTTGGTTTGGTTTGTTTTTTTTTCACGCATATTAGTTATTAACTTATTACAATATTTTTCTTTAGTTACTTTTGTTCCTAGTTTTTATCTTAATTTGGGAAGCTAGATGTGAATATCCCTATGTGCTGTAGCTTTCATTGGACACAATTTCCGTGTTTAATCCAATTAGCTTTACTGAGATACTTTTTGGCTTCGTATTACTTTATTGCCTGTTGCCTCGTCGTGTGATCTGTAACTTTATTTGTAAGTCATGAAGTTCACCATGTACAGACAAGTAAAGCTATTTTAAACTCAGCCAAACAAAAGTTGGACATCATTATTATGTTTCAAGGGTGGCATTTGAATTCGAGCGTTTGAATTTTTGGATTCTTTTTTTTCTTTTTAAACAATGGGCAGCTGCCTTTTATTTCCTACATGGTTCAAGATTTGCTTTATTGTCTTATGACATTCTACTACAAACTTTCTGACCAAAAGTTTTTCTGTATCACACTATGTTTTAGGCTTTATCAGGTTCGGCATAAGCTCTATGAGCTACTTGTAAATTGTATACCTCCAGAGATTATCTTAAAGGTACTATTTTCATTTCGTATAGCTTGCTACCGATTTTATATATTTTCCACTTTGATTTGAAGTATATGTATGTGGTTGCATCAGAGGCTACTTTTTGAATTGCTGAAGAAGTTGGATGCTGAACTGAAGCATGAGGTCTGCCATTGGGCAGCATATTATGTAAGTTCATCCTTTCCCATATCAGCCACCTTTTCTTGGGCCTTTTTTTATAAGTAAATTATTCAGGCTTTGCATTTTCAAGTTTCCCACCCTTTTTTTTCTCTCCCTCTTAACAGTTTGTTCTTGGTGTTATTGGAAACTTAGTACCAGTTACTGCAATTTTGGCGGCAAATTAAGCTTATTTTGTAGATATTTTATCCTATAAATGAATGGATAACTATGTTGGAAAACTAGTTGGATTCTTAAGACAAAAGCCTCCTTGAAGAAAAAGTGATAATGTTTGTAATTAGCTTAGTAAGAACAGGATCTGTTTGCCCATGTCTTTATTTTTCTGTGGTTTTCTAAAATTGTTTGTTCCTTTTCCACAGGAACATAGAATGCGACTCGGACAAAAGGCCATATTCCATCTTGAAGGTACTTTTATCTTTCTGTATATTCTGATGTGATGTTGATCTGCACTTGTGTAGATTCTTAAGATAGTTATTTTTCTTTTGCGACTCTAATGGTTGTGTTGATCAATTTTAATTTTCAGCATTTGTGGCCAAGTTCATGAGCATTTACAAGGCTTTCCTCATTGCGGCATTCGGCTGAACCAACCAGAGTTTGCGGGATTAGCTAGCGTTGTGAGATGTGAAATTATGTCGTTTTTACAATTCCGGTGTTGAACTCTTCACTAGAAGATGTCATGGAAAGATGCAGCTGTATTACCGACCTTTGTTTTATTTAATCTGAAATGAGTTTATATATACATATATGAGTACCCAAAAAAAAAAAAAAAAAAATCAGCAATACACCATTAGCCTCGCATCAATTCCCATTTTAGCAAGCTCCTCAACGGTGAATAATTCATTAGCAGATTGCGGGTCTAAGTTTCGATGTAGCTGCGTATTTCGATTCGCAGGACTATCACTTGCAACCTCATAAGCAGCATGGGTCTCTGGTTTTTATGGCTCCATGTTTGTGTGCTTCGTTTGTACTTGTAGCTCCATGTTTTGATGAGGCTCCTCCAATTATGCGTTAATTTTGAGTCTGTTTTTGTTATATATTTTACACAAAACGTATCCATCCATCTGTAAAGCCAAACAAAAATTCAATACTATTAGAACAATTTGTTTTACATATAGTGACAAAGTAGTGTTATACGATTTGTGTGAAAAAAAAATAATAATAATAAATAAATAAATAATGAAAAATGAAAAACCATTTTGGAGTCGGATGGAATAGTGTAATTGTAAATGAGCCAGTTGTTTTTGGGGTCGCATTTTTCTGTAGTTTTGGTATGATAAATTAACAGCCTTTTGTATCCGATCTCGCGTTCTTTATTATCTTTTATGGAAATCTTGGAAGTACTAGACTTTCAAAATCCAGCACAAGTTGAGCGATTAGGACGACTTCTGTTAGCGTACTTAAGCTTTGTTTGGGTGATGAAATACATCTCTTTTTCTCTTCGCTCCCCATATTCCATTGTTATTAACAAGAAAATTAATAAACTGTCACATGAAATAAATACAGAGAAAGATTAAATGCATAATGACAAATAAATAAATAAGTAGCTAACACAGGCATAAGGTGCATAAAGATGAACTATTTCAGTAGATAAATTAATAATTGACATTATATGTGAAGACTTGGCAAACAAGAACTAAACAATGATACGTACACCTCAAACACACTGAGATTCCGTTCATTTCACCGATTTGAGTTTAGAATTCGAGTGCTGTACAAAGTTCTCAGAAACAGTCACATCTAACTTTTTTGCTACAGTAAAAAGTTCTCACATAAAGTCATATCTCAATTCGAATTAAAAACTCGAATCGGCGAACTAAACGAACCCTGAAACAACAGATAAACGACACCTAAACATGATGAAGCTAAACTAAGCGGCAACCAGCAAGCCAAACGGAACTCGGTTTCAAAGAGACTTGTGTTAGAAAGTTAGAAACTTTCTTCTATTACGTCCTTAATTAAGCTAGCATTAGTTTACGATATTCATTATGCAACCCTAGACAAACAAGATAATATGTAAACGAAAACTACGTGCATAAACAATTGTCTTTTTCGTTTACATAGTATCTATTATGCAACCCTAGACAAAAAAGATTATAACATGAGAAATAAATACAATTCACGAAAAATCATTGACTCGAACTTCACAGTTCACAACATGGATGAATTGAAACTAGTGGGAGGTCACGTGCAATTCACTTGAATAAACTTTTGTTAATTATGCAAAAATAGTAGAGAAAGTGCCACATTTTTAATGAACGATTCCTACTGCATTAAATTGGAATATATATACACATCCATAAAATAGGAATATCTATCACTATTATATGTATATACATTTATAAAATACGTAGAAAAATTTCCTAATCAACAGAATGTTAACAATAACACAAAGAAAAACAAAGAAATTAAAAGAGAGTGTTGATATTGTAATGAAAAGTTAGAACATTCACGATCCTCAGGAGATAATTAGCATGGTAAGAGATAATGGTAGAGACAAAGTAGTGACATTAAATCTTTTTGGTATTCCAGTAAGAAGGAAGAATTAGCATGGCAGATTACTGCCAGTAATACAATAGCAGCTAGATACCTCTGTATAGTATGGATGATATGTAGCTTCCTTGTACCTTTTTATTAGCTACATACTTTTATGCAACGTATTAAACACTAGCAAGATATGTCACACACGCACATTCCCTCTAATGAAGCCCCCAAGTTCAAAGTTAAATTCTTTGTTGAATTTGGGGTATGGCCCTCATTCCGTAAGAACCAATTACCAAAAATTGAAAAAATAACGAAATGAAGAAAGTTGCAACAAATGACTGAGCAAAAATCAACCAAATAAACTAATCATGCATCTCAAAATTAGTTGAAAATAAGTAACACTTTACATATACTACTGAACACAAAGATTGAAGATATATTGGAGCCCTAAAACTATCAAAGAAATTACCCCACAACAAGCATGGGGCATTTTAATCAAGAATCAAATGTTTCAAATAATTATTTGTTGCTAATCCTTAGCTTCCTTTCCAAAGAGCACATCTCATTTTTGGTAGATATATATATATATATATATATATATATTGTTGGTGTTAATGTCTCTATGTAACATGATATCTCCATAGTCCTTAGAAAGAAAAGGAAAAAAAAAAATTGAAAGAGCCAAAATTGATGTTCTTAGGATTTTAACTACTTTATTTTTTTCACAATCTGCACACACATGAAAAGAAAGAAGTGACCTGACAATCACATGGCATTAGGTATAATATTAATATTCCTAATTAGCTCACAAACTTCTTCCACAGCTTGAAAGCCTCATCTCTCTTTTTAAACCACTCCTTCCATCTTCAAATTGACAAAGTCTAAACCCACCCATAATATTTTGCAAATAATTTTCCCAAGAATATTTACCACTATAAATATACACTAATATAAGCTTTCAAAATTCACATATATGCATACATTAATCCAAGACTATTATTAGTTGTCCTTTTTCCTTCTCTTCATTTCATCTAGTAGTTCATTAACAAGTGCAACCTCCTACCAATAAAGCCTCAATTTAGCATATACGCAGAAACACTCAGACTCCAAAAAATAAAAAATAAAAAAAAAGGTGGAATTCAACTTGTTAATAAACAGTGGATTATGGACCCGTAGAGCAAAAGAAAAGTAGTATTACAAATTATGCAATTATGCATTGGAATTACACGCTAATCTTCATCATCAAAATTATCTTCAGCAACTAGTGCTCACTTATCAAGTCGGCATTATTTTTCATTTTGTTTATATATATATATATATATATATATATATATCTTCATGGTAGCACCGCAGAACATTTAAAGAAATATGATTTTTCTTTGGTGTCTTTTGCTTTGATACTATATGAACTGTCTTGGATTTTGAGGTATTAACTCGCTTCATTTTGGCTGCAGGTGAAGGTGCACAACAAGTTAACATAAAAAGTTGATGCAACATTTTTTATCATTTCTAAATATTCGTCATGTTTGAAATTGATATAACTTAACACTTCTCAATCTACTCTCTCTAGTTGCCTAGAAAAAGTTTCCTCTCAAGGATACCTCCGGCTGAAAAAGTGAGTAAAATATAAGGGGATATTTACATTTTTATACCCTATGTTTTAGGTTTATTCAAAATTTATACTTTCACTTTTTTATATCATCAAATGTATACTTTTAAATTAGATTTAATACTCTAATTTATACTTTTTTACAGTCAATTCTCAATTTTAAACGTAAAATACCTAAAGTACCCTCAAATAAAAATAGAAAAAAAAAAAAAACTTTAAACTTCAAACTTTATACAATATTACAAAAGTGTCTACTTGTGCTTAATAAGACAAATATAATACCAGATTTGCCCTCGTAATTTATTTTGGGCATGTCCTCTATATGGTGGGGTTTTTTTTTCGAATATTTTTCCTAATAATATTAAGTTATTTTTGCAAATTACATTTAGGGAGCGTTTGGTATGCAGGAGTCAGTAAGAATCATATTCCCGAGAAAGTGATAGAGAGTAATATAATTCTTAAGAATAATACATTACTATGTTTGGTTCCATACATGAATCTTTCTCAAATTCTCAGGAATATTACATTACTATTTTTGGTTGTGCATGAAAATGTTGTGAATTAAAAATATATATATATTATTTTTAAATGAATTACAATTAGCACTAATATTTTAAAAAGTATAAAATACAACACAATAAGTAGTCCATAAAATTATCAAATAATAGAGAACATATCAAATAATAGAGAATAAGTAGTCTATAAAATCCTCTATACTCAAAAGTTCTTACAAAAGTTCTAAATATGAGAACATATACTCGAATAAGGTTCCAAACCTGAAATTAAAAATTCTAAATCTAAGACCACATATAAAAGTTCCAAAGATGCCATCAAAAGATTTAAATATTAGACATTGTACTCAAGTTTGTAAATATAGCACCAAAAGCTTCAACCTAACTCATTCCAAAAGAGATAGAAGAAAATCTAACTTAAATTCATCATCCAACGTGAAGAAATAGTTGGTGTAGTCATAGTTTTGGACAAGAAGTTTTCCGACTCGTACTCGTTGTGCATTTGTTAGTCCTTCTACCTTCTTCACTTCATCAAACACCTGCATCCTCCTTGCAACACTATCAGCCTCGTATTGAAAACAATTAGCAAGCCTACCAGTATTCTCACCAGCCATAACATACATATCAGAAAACTTCTGTATTGTCTCAATTAAAGCATCAACCAATACATCTCCACATTGAGATCTCTTTCTCTTTTTCCTTCCTGATGCTAATGGTGTTGAAGTTGTTAGTTGGCGTATATGATGTCGACGATAAGAACTCTCACCCCATCTATTTCTACGCAAACTTCTCTTACTAATAATTACAAATATCATAAACATGAACAAAAATATCATTTCATTTAACATCTCCATATATTGAACCAAAATAGCCACAATTCTTTTTTTTTGTTCCAACAGAAGAAGATCCATATATGCTCATTGATGGAAAAAAAAAAAAGAAATAAGCATACTTCTACGTAACCAAATCCGCAGAACATACAGAACCAAACATAAGGTTGCTAGCTTTGAACCATAAGCATACTTCTCATATTTGGGAAAAAAAAAAATCAAAGATTGAAAAAAGAATTTAACTTGAAGCATTTTACTTCTACAGAACCAAACATAAATCGGAAAGTTCTGGTTCAAACCCAGTGAGATTTATGCCTTTTATGAGGTAATTGTCACTTTTTTTTTTTTTAATTTGTGTGATAATGGATGCATTCTAAGAAATGGTAGAGGGAAAAGGAATCAATGCAAAATTAAAATTAAAAAAAAAAAACAATGAAGATAAAGAGGGAACTTACTTTTAAAAGGAAATCCCGGTGAAAGAGATGATTTTGAAGTAGCTATTCAATTTCAATTTTTTTTAAGTAAAAAAAATTGAAATTAGCAATGAATAGATTTGAGGATTTGTCTCTTGATGCAAGCTAGAAAGCAGAAATGGCTCTTCTATGTAAAGTAGATTAAAATGTTTTGATTAGTCTGGTGAAAACAGTTGTCAAAAGACGTTACTGCACCTGCAACGCAAGCTCCGACCCAGGTTGCGGCTGCGGTGAAGGTGCCCTCCCCTCCTGCTGTAAACTACACTACGCTTTCGTCGTTCAGCTGGGAGCAAGATAATGATAAAGTCAAGGTGAGAATTTGTTTTAAACCTTTGAGGAACTACTTTCGGCAGTGAGATTTCCAAATTCAGATCAAAAATTAACACAAATCGGAAAGTTCAGATAAAAAAATTTTCACAGAAAAAGGAGAAAAAAAGGAATCATACTCTGGTGGTGGCGGCAGAGGAAAGTCCGGTAACGGCGTGGGGGATCGGAAGGCGGCGGCGGCGTCCTCGACGGAAGCGGTGCTGGGTCTGGACGAGAGAGAGGCTGGGCCTGGACGAGAGAGAGAGATGGGTGAGATGGGTGATGAGAGAAATGGTAGGGCAAATTGTTTCCCGTAAATATTACTTTCCTGAGAAAATAAGTAAGTTTGGTTCATAAATTAGAATTATCAGATTAGAATTATTTTTAATTTATATATATTTTTTATAAAAAAAATACTGTAATAAATTATGAACCATGATTCGAATCAAAAAATAAATTTTTTAACTAAACGGACTTTAAATAACACCCAATAAAATAGATTTAAGATTATTCTAAAATATAATAATATAAAACTCATGAACTTTATTTTTTTGAGTTTTAAAAAAGTAATAATTGTATTAAATTTAAAAATTTTAAAAATTTTCATTCTCATCTTTGTCATTATTCCATATCAAACGTCCCTTAGAGTTTGACTTTCTATTCCGGTGTCATCATATATTTTGCTATCAATATATTGATTTATTCTTGATATGGTTTTTAAATTAGAATTAAGAATTTCCCTCTTCTTTAGAAAAAAAAAAAAAAAAAAAAAAACGTTCGCGTTGATTTATTTTTTTGTTACCTGATATCCTGGTTGCATTGTTTTGTTTTATCATCAAATCATAATTTTGGATATGAGAGAGAGTGGCTGCATTCTTTTGCGTGAGGATAGGAGAGTTTGTGTTTTTTTTCTTTTCTTTTCTTTTCTTTTTGTTTTCTTCATTACAAGAGGTTCGTCACAAGAGATTGGTTCAACATTGTTGCTGCATATTCTTTTGCGTTGAAGGGTGGAGATCTTTCGCTTGTTTGTTTATCTCGTTATATTCAAAACCAGAGATTAAATACAAAAGGTTGGTTCATTAATGTATCTATGATCATAGGTATTTCATATCATATATATATATATATATATTTCATTTTTAATTCATTTTGGAACATTATGGTTTTATTAAGACCTTTTGTCTAGGAATGTTCATAAACCCGAACAACCCGCAAACCCAACCCAACCCACCCCGTCCCAACTCAAGTCGAAAAAAATAAACTGCAGCATTATTTTTAAATTTTCGGCCCATTATACCTCTGGCCTGAAATGTTTGGGGCGGATTGCGGGTTAGGTCCATAACAACCCGCAATCCCCAATCCAACCCGCACAACATACCCCTAAGCTTTCAGCCTAAGCCCAACCTGCCCAAGTTCTACCCTAGGCTCGCTGACATTAGGTAAGACATCTCTAGGTAAGACAATAATTTGTATGTATCTTAATTTATTTTATTATATGAACTCTAAACTATCTAAATTATTACTTAAGTTATTTCTATTTCTCTTGTAGATAACTCAACTTCATATCCTACTACAACCATTGAGGAGCCTATGAGTGTGGATTGATAAAGATGGTTGATGTTGCAATGCTTGCTTTGGATGGATTTGAATTAAGATTTAAGCCTCTATGTTTGCTTTGCTTAAGTTATTTGTTTTATGTTAAGACTAATTTTTAAGTGTAGACTAATTTATGTTTGCTTTGTATTTGATGTTGGATGGACTATTTTGCTTCATGTTTGATGTTAGATGGACTGATAAAGATGGTTGCTATTTCTATTTAATGATGACATTTGAATATTATATTAAACTTTAAGTCTTTGATTTTTTAAATGTTGAAACAGACCACCCAACCCACCCCGCACCATCGTTGAGTTGTGAAATTTTTCTGGCATCGTTGGGGCCAAATATGTGTAACTCGCACTCTTTAAGGCGGGAAAAAAAATCTTACCCTGCACTAACCCAATCCATAATCTTACCCTGCACTAACTCAATCCATAAACGGCCTTACTTTTATCTGATCTCCCATTTTGAAGGACCAACTGTTGCATTTTTCTCAAAAGCCCGGATAGTGATTCTTATCATAACCAACCTATCCCTACGCCAACATGCAATACAAAACACATATGGGCCAGTGGCCCAATCAGGCGGGCTACAACCTGCCTCCTCTGTTCCCCCCATAATACATCCTCTTAAGTTCTTCGTTAATTTCATCCTTAAACGAAGAAACGAAAATCCTTTTTATGCTGTGAAGCAATTAGTGTGGGTGCCACCGCTTCATATTGTGTAACCTCTCATTTAAATTTCATTATCTCCTTTATAATTTTTCTCTTAATGTTGTGTATTATCTCTCTATAGTACTTTTCTTAATGTACATATAACTCATATTGCCCTTGTCTCTATTTTTGGCTCTTAATCTATAAATAGAGATGGTATGAGTATGTTTGGATTACTTCACACAAGTGAATGAAAGATTAAACAATTGTCTTGACTCTCATATTCTCTTATGCTGTCTTTGTTATTTTCTTTAGTTTACCGCAATATTTTAGTTTTCACATTTGTTTTATAACATTATATATATATATATATATTATAAATTCAACCAGTTATAGTTTCCTTCCAATTTCTACACATAGCACATTACAAAATTGTTTTTTTTTTTTTTTTTATATATAAAGCTGATGTATTTTTCACCAAAATATGTGTATCATAAACTAACAGTTAATCATTCTTTTAACCAATCTCCAAAAATGGTTTACTCTCAACAGCAAATTTGCATAAGTTAACCCAATATTACTCAATATTAGCAAAAGCATCCAGTGATCAAAACTGAAAGCTTTCTAAGCGAGATATTTTTTAATGTCTTAAGCGAGATCTTTGGGAAACAAACAGGATTTAGGAGACGAAAACTGACATTTACAAGGTAAATGGGTAAGCAAGCATGTAAATATTGACAGGTGTCACTTTTTCCCAATTAATTATCAAGAGAAACAGAGTAATTAAAAATATAACTTAAAGCGGGCAAATCATCATCATCCTATGAAAGACTAGCAGATTTAAGCTAATTGTAGATCTCTAGAAGAGTACAAGTCCATTTCATTTCAGTTGAAAAAAAAAAAAAGTGAAGGCAACACTCTACCCACACCACAAGTTATTAATCAAATAAAATAAAATAAAAACCCCCACTCACAAAATTTAACCTATTTATTGAACAAAATCACTTCCCTCCCTTTAAAGCAAGGAACCCAACTCCCCCCTTTTTCTTTCCAAACCATCACATTCACCTCTTCCACACATTCTCTTTCCCACTTTCTCTCTCCAAAATTTTCCCATTTTCTCTCTATTTTTTTTTTTTTCATGATGAGTATCAAAATATTGATGATCTCCATGTTCCTATCGTCCATCTTCTTCTCTCTACTCTGCATATTTCCAACCAAATTAACAACACCCATCACCACTTTGAGGCCAATTCTCATCAACAACTACTTCTTCAACAAATCCAACATCACCGCTAATAATAATACTAATCCATATCCAGTAACTTTTGCATATCTGATCTCAGCAACAAAAGGAGATGTCCCAAAGCTAAAGAGACTACTGTACGCACTGTACCATCCTGGAAACTACTACCTAATCCACTTGGAATCTGGAGCACCGGAGAGAGAGCACAGAGCGTTGAAGGAGTTTGTTGGGAAAGAGGCGGTTTTTGGGCAAGTGGGTAATGTTTGGATAGTGGGAAAATCCAACTTGGTGACTTACAGAGGGCCCACAATGTTGTCCACAACTCTACATGGCATGGCCATACTCTTGAGGCTCTGCAACAACTGGGACTGGTTTATTAATCTCAGTGCTTCTGATTACCCTTTGGTTTCCCAAGATGGTATGGTGAGTGAGAAACCATTAAAGATATATATTTTTTATTTATTTCCTGTGTTTTTTCTTATAATTTCTTTGAAATTTGTGTTGACTTTTTTTTTTTAATTTTTTTAAAATTTGTTTTGTCTTAAAAAAAAAAATTTTTTTTTTTTTTTTTTTTTTTTTTTTAATTTTGTGTTTGTTTCAGATCTGATCCATGCGTTTTCCGAGCTGCCTAGAGACCTCAATTTCATACAGCACTCCAGTCACTTGGGTTGGAAGCTGTAAGTGTTATTTATTTATTTATTTATTTTTGGGACATTTTTGGTCTTGGTCATTTTTGAAGTTTTAATTTTTGGGTTTTCTTTAGGAAAAAAAGAATAATATATATCATATAGGTTAAATGTGATTTTTTTTTTCTCATAATGTGTATTGTAATTATTATTAGGTCATTTTTTTTTTGTCTTGGGAGATTTTGTTTTTGCTATGTTATTTTTTGTTTTAGTTTTTGGGTTTTCTGTAGGAAATAAGAATACTACCTGTCATATAAGTTAAATATTGTATCATGAAATTAATAATATAATAACTATATGTGGTGAATCGTTTGGTGCAATATTGTGTTGGTTAGGAATAAGAGAGGGAAACCAATCATAATAGACCCGGGACTCTACAGACCCAATAAATCAGAGATCTGGTGGGCTATTAAACAGAGAGCTCTCCCAACTGCTTTCAAGCTCTACACAGGTTCTTTTCTCCCTTTTTTTCTATCAATTATTATTATTATTATTATTATTATTGCTTGTTTGTTTGTTGTTATTATTGTTATTAGTTATGTTATTCGAATGTTTATGGGGCTGTTCTTTTATATTTTTAAATTATGGTGATTTGAGTGATGATTTTGAGTTGAGTTTGAGTTATAATTTGAGTTGAAGTTGTAACTTGAGTTTGTGTTTAGATGTGTATATTTGAGTTATGATTTAAATTGAGAATCTTTTTAAGTTTGTGTTTAGGTGGGTCAAAACTTAAATTTGTATTTAGATAGTATTTTAATAAAAACTCAATGGTAATGAAAAATTTTAATAGAGTATATGGGTGGGATTTTATTCGCCTTTTCATTGTGAATGCATAGAAAAAAAATCATCTCAATCAGAATTAAAATGAAAAAATTATGATATTTTTAAGAATATAAAAATTACTATTTATTAACTTGTGTTTGAATTTATGAATTCGAGTTGAATGAAAAATTTGAACTCGAATTTAGCTCTAAACTCAAATTCAAACTTAAATTTAAACTCGAATTTAAACTCAAACTTTATAAAAAAATATAAATTTAAATAAAGTGTAACTCAAGTTTAAATTTTTTCTGAATTTGTTGTAAAAGAACAACCAATAAGGCTCGTTTATTTCACTGATTTGAATTTATAATTTGAGTTAAAATGTAATTTTATGTGAGAATTTTTTACTGTAGTAAAAAAATTAAATGTGACTATTTTTTAAAATTTTTTACTGTAATAAAATTTAAATTTTAAACTCGAATGAGTTTTGTCTTTGGGATATTGGTATTAGTGGGTGACATGAGAACTTCTGGAAACCAGGACACGTCTAGATGAAATCACGTACAAGGTACAATTGTTAAGACGGTGAGTGGCAAAAAATAAATAAATAAATAAAAAGTAAAATCCAAAAAGATATAAAGAAAATCAAACCGGGCCATGATGTTCTTTAAAATAAATAAATAAATAATCACTTTTGTCTTCTACTTTTGCAAACGTGTCCTGTTACGTCATCCATTGCACTTGTAGTAATCACATGTATAATTGACAATAACTTTTTGTTAGATTAGATCGTTATGATTGTACAACTCCAAGTAGTATCTCAAGTATTCATTTGGTTTTGTTTGCTTTTGTAAGACTTTTATTATGATGATTATAGGAGCTTTTATAGGATATTTTATAACATTATACTTTGTTTCTATTAATTTCTCAATATATTTTCTTGATTCTATTCTGGTTGGATTTATTTGTAGGACAAATGAAAATAGTTATAGGGACCCTTTATATATATATATATATAAGAATATTTTCATGTTTTGTTGAGTGCAAGTTTCACAAGGGCTTAATGTATTGTGTAAGCAATATATGTATATGAAATGTTCCTTTCCAAATTTGTTTTATTCATTATAAATGGACATAGTGGTCATTTTGGTGGTAGGTATGTGATTGGTACTCTTTAATGGATTATTAATAGATATGCCATATGTCACATGGATCTCTAAAGTATGACATTATATGTCCTTTTCATTCTACCAAACTATATTGCTTATTGAGACATTAATTATGTAATTATACCCATCACCCAACTTCCTTTAAAGAGAGAGAGAGAGAAGAAAGAGTTGATAAAAATGACTTTTATTGGTTTATTGCAAAAAAATTGCATGCTTTTCCACTTGTGATTAGACTCATGTACTGAGATTAACCTTTGCATATCAATGATTTACGAGTTATTAGTAAATTAAAAAGAGAGAGATCTTTTAATCGGGTATTCTCTACCACTACTACAGTTTTCTTATATGATAAAGGTAATCTGGTGTCTAAAAATGCACAATATTACAGAAAAAAAAAATCCTCGCCAACAGAAGCTTAAAAGAACAGAATAAGAGAATTCTTTGATATATATGATAACAAAAGTGAATTTAATTTTTTTTTTTTTTTTTTTTTTTTTTTTTTTTTTTTTTTTTCTAAAACCGAGTCGAGAGAGGATTCAAGTTGAGACAAATTACTGGCATTGGCACATTAGGGACTGCATAAACTGGTAACTGCACGTGGCAGGATACGTATATGTCCATGCCTACTTATTATAATTATTACATGGAATGGAACGTGCCTTTCCCGCTCCTCTGGTGGTCTCTCCAATTATTGTGCATGAATATTGGAGAAACGTTAAAACTTGATAGTAGACAGTAAGGACTTTCCTAAGCCCAATAGCTTGGAAATTAACAATATGTGTGTGTGTGTGTGTGTGTGCATGTAGTATCAATGTTATCACTGCTACGCTAGACATCACATAGATGAGGCATTAGTACAAGGCATTATATGAGAAAATACTCTATCGATGCAGATTTGTTTTAGACCGTTAAATCTATATCATATTATTAACTTTGTAAAACCTTTTTATTTTTATTTTTATTTTTAATTTTGATACGATTTTGATCAAATCTACCGTTGAAGAACATACACCATCTATAGGAATCCTACCATAAAAAGATTACATTACTAATGATGATAAATAGTTTTTCTGTAAAGTTAACATGTTTGTTTATTATTATTATTATTATTATTTTCTTTCTTTTGATGATGTGTCACTGATTAAGTAGCTTAATCATATATAATACATAAATTTCAGGTTCAGCTTGGACAATTTTGTCAAGATCTTTTGCTGAGTATTGCATAGTGGGATGGGACAATCTCCCAAGAACTCTCCTTCTCTACTACACAAACTTTGTGTCATCCCCAGAGGGCTACTTCCAAACCGTTGTATGCAACAACCAAGACTACAAGAACACCACAGTCAATCACGATCTCCACTACATCACTTGGGACACGCCTCCAAAACAACACCCTAGGTCCTTAGGGCTCAAGGATTTCCGGAAAATGGTTCTCAGCAACCGCCCGTTCGCGAGGAAGTTCAAGAAGAACGACCCGGTTCTCAACAAGATCGACCGCGATCTTCTGAAGAGACGTCGAGGTGAATTCAGTTATGGCGGATGGTGTTCCGGGAGAAGGAAAATGCATGGCTCATGCGCGTCTTTGCAGGGTGACAAGTACGGCGTTTTGAGGCGGGGACCGGGGTCTAGAAGGTTAAAAACTTTGCTATCAAGATTACTATTCTCCAAGAATTTCAAGAAGCAGCAATGCAGATGATTCTTTTTTAATCATTTAACTAATAAAGTTTCATACATTTGTAATAAAAGCAATGGCCAATTTATAGAGTTTGAGATGTAATATTATTCCTATATAGCGGAACTTTGGATGATTCTTAATAGTAAGAATTAATTTGTGCACATTTTTTCTTTTTAATTAGCTGCATGTGAGTTGAATAATCTCTTTAGCCGCATTTTTAAATGTAAGTCGTTCGAATTAGTTGTATACAAAATGTGAGTTCAAGATTGATTCTTTGAGACTAGCTAGTAGATTGTCAAATGTACATTATCAACATCTAAAAGTTTTTCCTTAATTTTAATCTGCTCTCTGTTCTGCTGACAGAAACTAGGTTCTTGAAGTGGAAAGAACAAAATGGAAATTAAATTGAAAAGCAAAACAAAACCAAAAACGTAACTGAACGATATGTTAACGAACAAAAAACATCTTAATGGGATTAAATTGGTGGTCCCAAAGGATCATAGCTACTAATTTTGAGTGGTTGGATAATAATTTATATTAATAGTATGATCACTACCTTGATTTTGGACCTTGAGAGCACATATTCACGATATCATACATTGAGGTCGAATTTATATTATAGTTCATGATCATTTTGATTAATCCACATGCTCAGAAAATTGACATTTCATGGGAATATAATTACTTATTTAATTTTTTTTCTTTTTTCTTTTAGAAAAAGATAGATAAAATATTATCATTTGATCTAAAAACTAAAAATTAGCAAGTCAAAGAGCGTAAAATATAAAAAAAAAAAAAAAAAACAAATAAATAAATAAAAGGCAGGGTATTCCGAAGATTTCTGTGGCTATGACGTTGCTTGTGACTTTATTAAAAGGTCAATCCTGTTGTATATAATAGGAGAAATTATTCTAATAAAATTCATAGTTCCAATCCAATGGAATAGGGGCTGAGGCTCCTTCTTTAACGGTCACATTCCTCAAAATTTATGAATATATAACTACCTATGTATATCAACCACTCTACCTCCTAGTATTAAATGAATTCTCATTCGTTGGATCAGAGCTTTTCAACGGTTCATAGACTATCAACGGTCACTTTTTTCCACTTTTATGCCGACCAAGAGCAACTTTCTGCCCACTTTCACCTTCTTTATTTCAACTTCTTCAATAATTAATTAAAAAAAGAACACAATATTTATATCACATGGCTCCAAAAAAAAAAAATAAATAAAGTACATGAACTTCGCAATCAAAACTCCACCGACAGTGTGCGACAAAATAGAGTAGAGACCAGAATTACATAATCTGGTCAGAAAGCGACGGTAGTCGCCGGAAAAAGTTCATTGGAACAGACGGCATGTCGTCACGGAATCTTGGATGTCGTAAGTAATAGAAACCGGAGCCCAACACAAACACCTTAAACGGCACCGCATAGAACACCAGCGAAGCCAATAAGCAGAAAACGACGAATATTCCCGTTGCCCTTGGGTCCCGCCAATTGAAGAGGGCCTCCAAGCGCTCTCCTTGGGCCGCCACGTCACCTAATAGCGTTTGGGCCCTCCCGGCCAAGGCCCGCAAACGGTCGTACCGAACTCGAACCACGTCTGGCGATCGTGTGGTCGGGAACCCATCAAACTCCTCGTCGAGCTCGTCGGGGCCTACCGCATCCATGTGTGAGAGTCTTGGGTCCATGCTGGCTGGAATAGAGCGTCGATACCGAAACCGAAACGCGAGGATCAAGAAGGCGTACATGAACACGGTGGGGAGCACCAAATGGGGGCAAAGCACCACGGCCACGAGGAGCACGTGTATCAAGACAGTGGTGGGCGGGTGGGCCCAAGTGCGGATCTCGTCAAGCCAACGAGCCAATGTGGCGGCCCGAGAGAGGCATCCAACAACCCTAAACCAATTGGCCTTGCTCCGCCTCATGCTCCACACGTGCGTGTCCGAGTCCAGTAGGAACTGGACTATTTCTTGTCCCAAAGGCGGCTCGGATCGGGCCAATCGAGCCGCGACAATCCTCATCGCAGTGTGTCGGAGGATGTCTTGTTGGGCCGGGCCCAACGGACGAACATAGTGCATTCTTGGGAGCATTGGGCTGCTGTAGGCCTGGATCAGACTAACCCACGAAGAGCACGAAAATCGAACGGCAATCTCAACTTCTCCCATTCTCTTGGGACCACCAGTAAGCAACACCGTTAGGGGATATGAACTCATGTACACCCGATTAGTATCCAATGCGGACAATCTTATCCTAATCTTCCCAATCCTAAGATCTTTCCCAGGCTTACCTGATTCATCGCGCTTGTACCTTCCATTATCAAAAACTCCAACAGTGAGAACAGTAGAAGGATCATACACATCCCACGTGTACTGCTCATTCCACCGTGGATTAAATCTGTCGATGATGGTCCTTGTCCGGACCCACTTAGGCCCATACTTGGACACCACGTAAGCGTCTGTGGTGCCACGTGTACCGTCCTTGGTCTTCACTGGAAGCAGATTAGTCGCGCCGCGAATGCCCACTTCGAGCAAGCCGATCGGGGCTTTGGCCAGCTGTTTGGCAGCGGCCCTAACATCGCTGGTCACGTGCGCCGCCTCGTCGAGCACGTGATACCCACCCTCCAAGCACACCCGTATGTGTATTCTCCCCGCGTACGGACGATTCTCATCGCCAATCAGATTGAACCACCTGGACTTCGGCTCGGCTCTGTCGTCCGTACGCCTCTCAATCGTTGGCACGTGCAGCTTCACGTGACCCACTGACTGCACGTGCGTTGCGTCCTCTACTGTAACAACAAGAAACGGCTCGAACGGCTCGGCTGCGACGAACATCAAATCCTCGTTCCAAGCCGAGCCGAGTGGCGCTCGGCTCGTCTTGAATAGCTGCGCTCCATGCTGAGCCTTGACATAGACTTCAGGTTGACTTTGACTCCGAGCCTTAGGTTCGGGAACGGGACCAAGCTGCAAATCCTGGGTTTGGATGACCGTTAGTCTCAGATACCATAGCTTGGGAGAAAGGTAAACTTTGGCTCGTGTCTCCGGTATCAACCCGCCTGAATCCGACTGCCAAGCCTCCTGAAACGCCTCGTCAGCCTGAGTTCCGAACCAGACGGCGAGCATGACGTCATTTCCAGGCGACTGCTCCGGCAACTCGAGAGTGTACCACTGCGGAGCCAGGGGACTATCCGGAGGGACTCGCTTAGGCACCTCCTGGAGATCAAACGACACCGTTCCCAAACAGCTCTCAACAATCTCAATCTTGTCGTTTTCCTTCTTCTCCTCCTCCGTCCAAACGGAGACTTCCAAAGAACTGGAATTTAATCCCTCTTTATCAAATGCGAACACCTGGTCCCATTCCTTGTCATTCGCTTGGCTCTTGGTTTTTATACTGTGCGTTCCGATCACGAGCTTCGCGTAGGCGTTCGCTGAAGACGACGCGCTGCCGCCGCGCTTGGCCTTCAAGACTCGCACGTAGAGGAACGGCATTCGCTCAACTAGATCGCACGCGCTGCCTCCGCCGTGGCCTCCGCCGCTTCTCCGATCTGTTGCGATAGATCTGAGCTCCAACGCATGAGCGGAGCTTGCAGTCGTCTTCTTCTCCTCCAACGCATGATCGGAGCTTGCAGTCGTCTTCTCCTTCTGATCTTCATCTTTTTTCGGATTATCAGTTGAAGGCTTCTCGGCTTCCGCTTCAGTTTTCTCCGGAGGCTTCTGCTCGTCTGCTTTAGGTGGCTCTGGTTCTGCCGACGGCTTCTTCTCATCTTGTTCACCTTCCTTTTTCTCCTGATCTTCCTCTTTCTTGACCTCCTCTTTACTTTCCTCTTCCTTCTTCACATCCTCCGGCGGCTTCTCCTCCGCCGCCGCCTTCTGCTCCAGCGCCGGCGGATCTTCATCCACATAATAAGTCTTTAGTCCGATCTCGCCTTTGATCTGGGAGAAAACGCTCCGCTTCTCCAGCGGAAAGTAAACAAGCGATTCCGATCCTGATCTGGCGAAGGTAGAACCGGAGATCTTAACCTTGCCGAGGAAGGTGCTCCGTTTTCCGGTCTTCTTATCGTTGTAGAGGTTGATCTCGAGGATCTCGGACGCCATGGAATCTACGTCGTGGACAAGAAACTCGAGCTTCTCATCCCACTGAGGATTGAGGTCTCTGAACTTCGTCTTAGTCCGGCGTCTCTGGCCGTCGTAGTCGACGATCGCGTAGGCGCTCGCCGTCCCCTGGCCGTCCTTCGGCATCAGATTCTTCGCGCTGCAGACCTCCACGAAGACCTTCCGCGAAGAAGAAGAAGAACTTTCTGAGCTTTCCGCCATTGGAGATTGAATATTATCAGAGAAGATGATGATATGATGGTCTATGGCTAGGGTTCGTCTAGAGAGAGAAAGAGATGAGAGAGTAGTGATGGTGAGCTTTTGAACGTTATTTGTCTGAAAACTTTGGAGTGGAGCGTGGGGAGTTTAAAATGGGAGAAGAGAGGAGCGGGACACGTCAGCAAGACACGTGAGACGAGGTGGCCACGTGGAGGGAGGATCTTGGTGGGTGGGTTTTGTTTGGATGTTGTGCGGAGGAGAACCACTAGCGTGGATACTACTGACTTTCTGTATTCAGCTTATCAGCGTGTCTGCTGCTGCCACATTGCCCACTTGGAGTCATATTTTACTCAATGAGACATTGTTTTGGTTCCATTTCACGATATTATTGCCCTTCTTGTTATTATTATTATTTATTATTATTATTATTATTTATTATTATTATTATTATTATTATTGTTATTCTTTTGGATTGTCTTTGAAATAATAATGAAAGTGGATAGTTCAAACCCTTTGCCGTTCTGAGCATAATATATATCATGATAACATGGAAGGCATGCCTTCTTTTGGTGAAAATACTTGATTTGTTTTTTAATAAAAAGAATACTACTAAAACTAGTTTCTTTCTTTTTTTTTCAACTAAATACATATACAATCCACTTATAATGCTTTCGTTTGGGGGAAGAACTAATTATATAGGTATTTCAGATAATAAGCTCGTAAACTATGTTTTTTATTAACAAATAAATAAAATAAAATTTTGTCATAAAAATGGATATATTAAGGGCAAAATACAATATAGTTGATAATCCGTAGTATCTTAAAATACAATTTATTACTTCTTCCTTTTTTTTTTTATCTTCTTAACACTTTTTTTTAGGGGAAGTATCTTCTTAACACTTGATATGCTAGAATTCATGAGATTGAAATAATTGCTCATACTATCACGAGTAAGGGTTACTATTGTAAATTTATAAAGAGAGATGAGAGTTTGGTTTAATATGGAGATGGGGATCATGCCTATATCATATGCATGGGTGGTCCAAAACTATGTTAAAGGTTATATATATATATATATATATATATATTAGAAATGTCTGTAAAAACGAACGTTGCTTTTGTTGTTGTGTGACACAAATAATTCGTGGTGGGTAATATAAGGACAAAGGAAAAGGACTAGAGAACGTTGCATTTATTTACTTTTCTCATGACCAAAATAAAGTAGGACTATTATATAGTGGTTGCCTTGTCTTGCATTTGTCATTCAGACCACAATATTCAAAGTGAAAATCAATTGGTCATAATAATTAAAAACAAAAAAAAAAAAAACCAAGAGAAAGTTACTAGTCAGGGGAATAAAAATGACAAAAGAAAAAAATCCATCCAATCACATAATAAAAACCAAAATAGATGCCATTATGAAACCATGTTAACCAAAATGAAATATTTGCATGATCTCAAGGGTTCTCACTAAAAATTCTCATTAAATCTAATAAAAACATATTCATATACATACTCTTGGAAAATGTAATAGTAGATTTTGTCACCAAACTTAACGGTAGTGTTTTAAGAGATTTTTGTTTCTTGTCTACAATCAAAACAGGATGATATCATTTTGGTATCATGTGTTATAGTAAACTATGGTTTTAGTATTCTGTGTTTTTGATAATATTGAAACGGTACCTCAATAATTTTAAAAATATCTTCCTGATACTTTAAAGTTGATTTTTAAGACATGTAATGTTCAAACTACCATTCTTATTAATTAAATAGAAATTGATATTTTTTTTAAATCTAAGAATATATTTTAAAACATTAAAATATTTTAAAAAACAAGAAAGTAAAAACGTATCATACTTTTCTCTATATTTATTAGTTTTTAGTTAATTAAATAGAATGATATTAAGGTCATTTTACGTTTCAAAAATTAGCTTCAGCATACTAATAAGATGTTTTTAAATCATTGAGGTACCGTTTTGATATTATAAAAAATACAAGGTACCAAAAGCATGTTTTGTCATAACACGAGAGTACCAAAATGGTTTTATCCCTTCATATATTACTTCGTGAATGCATGAATATGCACTTTCGGGTCGTTATTTCGATATTGAAAGAAAAGTGCTCCTTTTGTCTCTTTTTGTGCTTGTTAATTTATTTTCTGATATAAAATCCTCTTGCACAAATATGCATAAGATTTTTCCCTAATCTTAAAGCTCATTTGGCAGATTTTTTATTTTTATTTTTAGCCAGTAGAAAAAAAGAAGTAATATTATGGCTTTCAGTAAGTGTTTGAAACAAAAAGTTTAATGGGTCAAAATGATTTTAAAATTTTTTAATAAGCAATAAAAGTGTTGGGATTAAGTTTATAATGCCTTAATTAAACTCTGGTAGGAGTTTTAAAGTCTATTCATAAGTGTTTTTTTTTTAAAAGCCATAATTTCTAACTTTGACTAGAAGCTCTTTTAAAAAGTCAAAGCACTTCTGACAGATCATCCAAATACTTCCAGAAGCAAGATTTAGACTTAAGAACCTAAAATTAACTTTTAGGAAGCTCTCGCAAACATGCCCTTAATAAATGTTCTATGTATTTTCTTGATAAATCTTTATTTTTTATTGGGTGAAATTAGTGTTTGTTTAAAACTACATGGCTTCGTTCACTTCGCGGATTCGAGTTTTCAATTTGAGTTGAGATATGATATTTTCTTAGAGTTTTTCACTGTAGCAGAAAAGTTAGATGTGACATTTTTGATAGCTTTTTATTGTAAAAACCTAAAATTGAAAACTCGAATCAGTGAAGTAAACGAGGCATAAATAATCACTAATAAAATTTGTACTCCACATGATCACATTCAGTACTTCCCATATAGTTTGGCATGCTTTGACAAACAAAAAGGCATCATACAATTGTTTTTTGAAAACACAAAGGTCCGTTTAAAAGGTAAACTCAAATCTATAATTTTTTATTCTGACATTTAAACTTTAAATTTTTTGTAAGAATTTTACGCTGTAGTAGAATCATAAGTTTGAATTTGAGTATATGAAACAAAACACCCACAAAGTAAAAAGGGCAGAAAAAAAAAGTTCTACGTTTACATGATGATTTGTGAACTGCATGCATTTACTAGTAATGATTAGGTGAAAGCGAAAAAAAAAAAAAATTCTCCAAAATATAAGAAGAAAGCAAAAAAAAAAAAAAAAAAAAAAAAAAAAAAAAAAAAAAAAAAAAAGAAAGAAGGAAAATCGCTCCCAAACCAACAACACGAATGCATGATGGCCTTGCATGAAATTGAAAAACGCCTACCCACTTATAAGAAGAAAGCAAAATGCATGCATGCATGCATATATGCCTTTTTTTTTTTTTTTTGTTGCTAAAGCATAATGAAATGATGCTAGGATATATATGTATATTGTAGACGATTAGAAATATACCTCGAGGAGTACTATATAGTACATTCATACATATAGAATAATAAAAATGGTTTTTTTTTTTTTTTTTGGAACCAGCAATTTTAATTGTAATTTAATTTCTGGAACAAACATGATACGTGCATGAAGATACTCCTAGAATTCAGCTGTTTTGGCTTATTGGGATTTTTCTATTATCAATTTTCGTTTTAAGTAAGGTCTGCTCAAGTGAACGTTGTTCTTGACTTCTTGTCGTGCTACAAAGTGTACTTTCTGATCAGTGTTTTATTATAATTATTATAACTATAATAATAATGATAATAATAATAATAATTATTATTATTATTATCATTATTATTATTATTATTATTAAACTTTAGCACGTAACACATCAACTGTAATATTCGCTTCCATGTTAGCCTAAGCTTTTTATATTAGTACTACTAAATTTGTGCACATGCTCGAGCAATAGTTTGATTAACTCTTTTTTTTTTTAAGAGTTTATTCCTTAAACTGTAAGGAAACTTCATCACGTAGTATGTAACATCCCACGAACAGGTGAAATTTCAGTTTTCAACCTCTCTTTAATTAGATCCACTAATAGTTCTCCTTGAATGGCTTAGTGGTTAAAACTGAAGAAAATGAGATAAACACCTTCACACGATTAATGTCGTTTTCACCAACTTTTTTCTTCTTCTTTTTTTTATTTTTTTATTTTTAGAAAAAAAATCAAATTCCTCGTTAACAATACATAGATAAATCTATTTTAACGTGAATGCCATGCTAATTAGATGGGTTTTAAGCAGAGGTTTAGAAAGCTCAATTCTACTTCTGTTGCATTGTTCTGATAAAAATAATTTTCCCATTTGACCCTCCAAGGCATTTGTCATTAACTTTGGAAGTAGATCTAAAAACCACACTAGCTTGGTAATATATTAAAATTGAAAGATGGTAACTTTACTTTATGTCATTTTGTATTATAGCAAGTTAAATATTTATTTTTTTATTCTCCTTTTCTCTAACCAAATACGATAGAAGAAAAATGAATATTAATTTTTATATTCCTTTTCTCATGCCAAATACAACAGAAGAAAATTTTCGCTCTTCTTTTTTAATCTATTTTGCCTCCAAAACTCTACTTCAAGCACCGTATAGTATCCCCATTCAAACTGTTAAATGCTGAAAGTGGATAAAGTAACATGAAGCTCTACAAATAGCATGATCTCTTAGAAGAAGAACCATTTTCTATGCCTTTAAAAGAGAAATACATACATGAAATTGGGATTCAACTCTCTAACTGCCCAAAGTATCGGCCTGAAATTGTGGCAAGAATATTCAGCATGACAACCTCATCGTCAAGCTCAGATTTTCCAGCTAGAAAACTAGCGCTCTTCCGTAGTAAACTTCGAAGCGAAGCACAAGTGTCTGCATCTAATGGGGTGTCGACTACTGCACAAAGCGCAAACAGCCACAAGCAGTCGTTCCTCGACAAGGTGTTTGTACCAACGAAGGAGCTTATCCGTTTCTTCAGCATCGACACTCGAGATACTGAATCCATTTTTAGTATCGCGGACAAGAGAGGATAGTTGGTGTAATCTTCGGTCACAGATGATTTAGGTAGCAATTTATCAGGTGAAGGTAAGATACCACTGTCTTCATCGGTGGATAAGCAAGATAACTGGTCATTTTCATTTTCAGAACCAGAACAATCGTAAGACTGGTCAGGATGGACTTTGGTTTTGATTTCTTCAGGGGAACTCTCAACATTTATGCTCCAAGAGGACTGATGGGAATAGCTTTTCTCAGGAAGAACAACTTCTGATAGCGGGTCGCCAGAATTTTTTATGCTGGAGATCTCAAGACAAGACAGAGCCTGAAATCAAGAGTTTGGTTAGATTCAATTTCCTCTTTCAAGTCCCATAATTCATGACGCCTTAATTTAACTAACAACTAAACCCTTAACAACCAACTTGAATTCTTGAAAAGAAATGGTCAGCAATATTGGATGACAGAACTGGAAGAATTTTTTCGATTTTCGTCAAGCTTTATCAAGTATTCCCCACACAGGCAATCATATGCCATTTCGTGGCTTCATTACAAATATATAATTTGCAACTAAGGAAAAGAATAGTACTATTTGTCTAAAATCTTAAAAAGCAGTTCCATGCCATTTTCTGACTGGTGAATGTTATCCCTATTTATAGAAATTCATATCTTACCAAGTGAAACTACAATTCAGTTGCCGTTTCATTTCCTTTTTGCCTAGTATACTAGTCATATGCCTATATCAATTGGTGGCAAAAACATGGGAAAACAGATGAGACAGGTAATGTTAGATGTTCGAAAAAGAATATAGAGCTTCCACTGATATAACAACAACAATAACAAGCCTTAATCCTAACTTAATTGGGGTCGGCTTCCACTGATATAAGATATTTTAAAAATTATAAGTTTCCAAAATTTTGATTCTGCCACCGAAAATAATAATAATAATAATAATTCATCCAATACAGTCATTAGTGAAAAAATGGAACGTAGAAAACAAAGGCATACCAACATCAAGAAAGTACACAAGCCAACATAGTTGTTTCGGTTTCAACAAGAATTTCTTGTTATCATGCCACAAATGTAATAGAACCTGACTATTCGCAAAGCAAAGTTATGGGCAAGATCATACCAGCCTTAGCTGTGAAAATTCAGCAAGAAAAGCATCCTCCCACTGCTTTGCGGGCAATAAGTGTTCTGGGCACTTGGCAATCTCAGGAATCTTGGGCATATATTCACTCTGCTCTTTCTTTAATTTACTTCTATGAAGCTTGGCTACCCTGATTTTTGGAATTTGAGCTGCCTCCCACCTGAGAAAATGAAGTACCTGCTTTAGTACACAATTACTCTAATTTACAAATCATTCCTAAAATAGAAGGACAAACCTAACAGCAGTAGGAACAATAAGCATTAGAAAGCAAACACTCGCATAGTTTCTAGCATTTTTTTCGGATAAGGATGACTAAGGCAGATACCGGATACTTCGTGCGATTCTGCTTAGAGGAGTTTGAAGGTTCTCCTTTTCATTTTAACTAGGGATTAGGAGCCTATTTTATTCCAATAGTCAATGCAAGATAACAGCTCGTTTCTCTAGTATTTTTCTTGTATTTTTTCTCATTCTCTCAACAAAGTTGTTTCTTATCAGAAGAAAAAAGAGAAAAAAGTCAGCTTGGCTTCTGTTTCTGCAACAGAATCACTTCTGCAGTCGAGCATACAAAGTTATATATATAAGTTGTATTAGTCGAAAATCACATCTTATATATATTTATATACTTCATGGAATTCAACCTACTTATGCACAATAGTAGAGACATGGCATTGTAACACTTGAAAACAAAATTATCTGCAAAAATAAAGTAATCTAAAGATAACCACCGCCCTTGCTGTCCAATGTTTCAAACCTCAATATGCAAGGTTATGAACATTATATAGAGGTTTGACCTACAACCACACATACACAATAGAAAGTTCCAAGATCAAGAATTCTCATGATTTATCAATAGAGTTATTAACTTATTTTCCAATGACAAAAAAAGTTCTATGGATTTTGATTGTTGCGTTCTCTACTCTTCTTCAATTAAGAAGAATAGCCTTAACTTCGGGTACTCTTGTACCCTCAATCAGAGATAGCAAAGACAAACTGAGAATATATGATTGATACCTCACGCGCCTAAGATATTCAAGTCCATCTTCTGGAGGGCCAGATTCAAAGTTGGGTTCTCCCTCAACCACAAAGGCAGGTCTCTGAATGCTAGCATATTCCTCATCACTATCATCCTCCTCCTCACTGTACTCTTCTTCCAGAGCTTCATACTTGTCTTCATCTCCTATGTTATAACCACGGCAAGCGGCATCAAAAGGGCCGGCATCGTCGGCCCCACTTTTCACCCTGTCCGATAACCCGTTGTCTATGAGTTCCGAACATGCTTCCCCTGAAAGTAATTACAACAATTTTAGGAAAATTGTCAACATTTCCACAGAATAGAAAGAATAGTTAGGACTTTGAATCTCAAGTACATTGAAGCTATCGAAAACAATTCAAAATTATCACTTTACACTCGAAAACTATTCAAAATTATCACTTTAGTATTTTTCATTTCAGAAAGAATGTCAAATATCATCATCTGTACAACTAGGTAAATGCTTCACAATCGAAGATAAAACCAATAATTTCCATGACGAATGACTACACTAGTAATACACAAGATTTACATCTGTTTCAATCACAACAAAATTCCATTTTTTTCAAATAAACAGAAACTTTATAGCAACACAATCAGTGTTCATAGAAGAAGTGTTCATCAAAATTTACTCAAAAAATGGTACAAAACTTACCAAGAAGCGGAGTGGAAACTTGCTTCTTTCCACCATTTCCAGAGCGCTGTTTGTTTCCGTCCTTCTTATTACGCTTAGAACCTCCCGCCGCCGCCGCCGCAGCCAAGCCGTCGTATTCCTTCTTGGCGAGAGGAGCGAGGCCATTGCAGACATTCTTCCATATCCTCCTCTGTTCTGCCATGTTCGCAAACCTCAACGCCTCCATCTCCTCCCTCGAATACTCCACCTTTACTTTCTTCTGTAAGGTTTCATTGACTTCTTCACAATCAGTTCTTCTCGGCTCATTTCCAGGTGTTATTGGTGTTGATATCATGGCTTCGAGTTCTTCCAGTAACTGCTTCTTTTTCTTTTCTACCAAACAGCTTTCGGATTTTCCCGATGATTCTTCCTTGACATCGTCGAAGGAGCTTTCGTCAGCCATGCCTCTCTCTCTCTCTCTCTCTCTCTCTGTGCAAGAAGAAGAGAGGCAAAGGGTTTTTTTCTCTTTCTTCTCCTCCTCCTGCTTCTCAATGGACATAGTCACGTGCATTGCACGTGACGTATAATTTTATTTTCATTTTAAATTATTTTAGATTATTTGCCCTATTAGAAATTTAATTTTGAGCATGTCATTAGACGTTTGTCAAGTTACTCCATATACGTTCAGTTTTTCATTTTTCACAATTTAATCTCAGACATTTTTTTTTATAGAAAAAACCTCAAAATCACAGACATTAAACTTGACAAAGAATCTTTAATTTAACAATGTGAATCACATGTCTAAATTATGATAACCTCAAATTTTAGGGATACAATTGTATTATGTTTAAAACGTTCTATTCACTATTCTTAACGAAAATTAGAACATTTTACATTTTATGTAACTATTTATATAAAATGTTTAGTTGTTAGATGATATAAATGTAAATTATTTATGTCAAATTTTAGAAATGCTTCATTAATTTTTGTATAAGCGAATAAAACATTTAAAAATTAATTAAAAACAAGTAATTTACTAAATTAAAAGTTTAAAAATTTAATTATCTTTATTTTTACAGTTCAATACTAATAATAACTGATTTATTTTTAGGACTCAGGAAAAATAATAATAAAAAGAAAATGATTATTCTCACTAATATATCTGAATATTAGGGTCATTATTAGTTTGTCTCTTAAATTTTAAAAATTCTCACTTTGTCTCTTAAATTTTGAATTGTTCTCACTTAACTCTTTTTGTTGTAATTTCTATTAAAATTAGACGAAAAAGATGAGGTTTTTATCTTTTTCTTTTTAACAGAAATCTAAACAGAAAGACCACATGATTTGTTCTCACTTAACTCTTTTTGTTGTAATTTCTATTAAAATAAGACGAAAAGATAAGGTTTTTATCTATTTTTTTTAACAAAAATCTAAACAGAAAGACCACGTGATTATATTATTTTCTTTTTTAACATAAAAAATTAAGTGGAAATAATTTAAAATTTGAAGAATGAAATGAAAATTTTTAAAATTTAAAAAATAAATTGAGAATGATCTTAAATTGTAACATAAAAAATTAAGTGAAAATAATTTAAAATTTAAAAGATGAAATAAAAATTTTTAAAAGTTTAAAAAATAAATTAAAAATGACCTTAAATTGCAACATAAAAAATTAAGTGAAAATAATTTAAAATTTAAAGAATGAAATGAAAAATTTTAAAATCTAGAAAATAAATTGAGAATGACGAATTATCAGTGATAAAGATGAAAATAAAATATTCGCACCCTCCACTCTCTAGTCTACTATAAAAAACATGACATTTTTCTGAAATTCCCTCCAAAGCGGTGCAGAAATGAGGAACAATAATCCCCACGCTTCGGCTCTTCTTCGCCTGCGATGAAACGACATTGAACATCGAACGAGACGACATCATCAGGATGCAGCAGCAGCACCAGCCAAACCAGAGCGGCGTCGGCGGCGGCGGCGGCGGGGCGGCGGTAGTTCCGGTGAGCGAAGCTTTCTGGTCATTGGTCCAGAAAGCCGACAAGAAGTTCTCCAAGATCCGACACCTTCCCTACTACCACCGCAATAGGTTCGCTTCTCTTGTCTTCTCTTCTCTTTTGCTGTGTTTCTCTATGGTTGGTTTTATCATCGTAAGCATCAAATTTCGAACTTGATAGTTCAATCATGGAGAAAAAATTAGGATTTGAATATTGATTCTCTCTCGATTTCTCCGAATTGGGATTTGCGATTACGGTTTTCTTGGGTTTATGATCAAATTCAGTCTGTTAATGCAACAAACGGAGAAAAAGAATGGGAAGAACTGCGATGCAATAGGTTCAAACCCTACTTATCTCTCTTTTTCCTTGACTATGATTTAGGATTTAGGGTTTAGGGTTTTTTGAGGATTTTATCATTACATTTCAACCTGATGATTTAATTAATGGAGAAAAATATGTTCAATCAAAATTTTATTTCTTTCTCATTTCCCCCTATTTGGATTTCACTCAATTCTCTCTATATTCCATCCAATTTGAATTTGGGTTCATGGTTTAGGGTTTTTCTGGGATTTATGATCGAATTTCAATCTGACTCGATCAAATTCAGGGAGGAATACGATGCGTACTTCTACAAGGTGTTCAGGGTGTACACGCAGGTGTGGAAGATGCAGCAGGAGAACCGGCAGAAGCTGGTGGAGTCCGGGCTGAGGCGGTCGGAGATTGGTGAGATTGCCTCACGGATTGCTCAGCTCTACTTTGGCCATTACATGAGAACCAGCCAGGCCAGCTATCTCCACGAGGCCTTCGTCTTCTATGATGCCGTTTTGAGCCGAGACTACTTCAACAGCAAGGTTGATGCTGGCGATCTGCCCCTCGCCACCAAGCAGCTCCGCCTCATCTCCAGGTTCCTCACCGTCTGCTTGCTCTTGAATCGCAACCAAATGGTCCACCAGCTCCTCAATCAGCTTAGGGTTTTGCTGGACGATTGCAAGAGGACTTTCCCGGTTTGTTTCTTCTCTCCCTCTTTCTTTTTCATTGTGATTGGTTTTCTCTTTTCTGGCTTAATTTTATTTATGCTCCCAAACTAGTTCAATCTGTTGTGAAAATGTCCGAGTTTCTTTGAATCATGAATGTGACGCAAATGTAACATGACAACTTCAGGGATGAATTTCCTTGGAATGTGGTGTAGCTATGGATGAATTTGGTAAATAATAAAAAAAAATGATGGGTTGCCCAAGAAGGTGGAAACTTAGATAATTTCTAAGTTTAGGGATTGCTAGGGTCACAAGTTGATGTTGAGGGGCAAAGTCAAAACTTAAAAGATATTTATAGTTTGTCATAAAGTGATGAATTGTGCAAGAAGTTACAGATTGAGACTGTTTTTTAAAGTTCAGGGATTGCAGATGTCACGAGTTGAAGTCTGGGGACAAAATGAGACGAAATTCATGATTTGGGTGCATAAAAGAAAATTTTCACTTTCTTCCATTTTGAATGCTAATAGATCTGACTTTTGACATTGTACAATTCAATCTCACTTTTACAGGAAACTGACTTTAAAGAATGGAAGCTGGTGCTTCAAGAATTGCATAGATTTCTGAAGGCTGACACTAATTTTATGAATATCAGGCCTCTCAGGTATAGTACGGTACTGGACCCTCATCCGGATTTGCTTACATCTCCTGCGAAGAGAAATTTGAGGCTTCGTGATGCAGTGCTCAGCAGCTATCATCACAATGAGGTTAGGTATCGAGGCTTTCCACTTTTCCTTGATAACTATGTGCTCTCGTTTTCTTCTAAAGCTACTATAATTATGAGTTTTCTGCTTTACAAATGCTTCAAATCGAATCAACTCAATTGTTTCTTGTTGCTCTATAGTGCCCTTAATTATGGTTGTGAATGTACTTCTGCCACAGGTGAAATTTTCGGAGCTCACTCTGGACACCTTTAGGATGGTTCAGTGTTTGGAGTGGGAACCCAGTGGCTCCTTTCACCAGCCAAGTGTTATGAAAAATAGTCAGAATGGGTCTTCTACATCTACCCGCACAAACTACTCCCAAGATATCATTGATCCTACACTACCACCTAATCCTAGAAAAGCAGTTTTATACCGTCCTTCTATTTCGCATTTTCTAGCTGTGAGTATTATCAATGATGGAGAAGCTTGTAGTTTGAACTGTTTTGTTATAACATATGGCAATCATATTATTATTCTTTAAGCTCATAACATGGATCTGGGCATCAAAAAAAGACTTAGTCAGCAGAGATTATGTGGAGGGTGCAACTCTAAATTGAGCTAAATGCTTAAAATGAATATATGTAGCAAATTAATGTAAAAATATTTGTCTTAGTCGGGCATATTTTTCCCATGTGTTCTGACTTAAATACTTAATTTTCTGTTGAACTATGATCATTAATTGCATAAGTTGGTTCAGTATCAGAATAGTTTCATTTTATCTAGAGATATTCCCCTGTAAAATTTATGTTCTAAATATATTTTTGGAAGAGATTCAACTAGTATATTCTATAGTCAGTCACTCGGTATTTACTTACCTATTGACAACCTTCATGGTAAGGCTTCATATGTTGGCAATTTTAGCTAATGCAGACAGTTAAGAAGTATCAGATAACATTGTAATCGGAATCATTATTTCTCTGCTGGATGATTTAGACTTTTATTTTATCATGTGTTCTTTTATCATTTCTAAACTGCATGTGTTTGTGCATTCTTCTGGTAGGTTGTGGCCACAATATGCGAGGAGCTTCCCCCTGATGGAGTTATCTTGATATATTTGTCGGCTTCAGGTTTGTTTATATTGTTTGTACCTAATTGCTCATGCTTGCTATTTTTATTGATTATGAATCATAGATGTTTTCTGTTCATTTAAGCTGTTTCACGGAAAGGGAATAATACTTAAGACTACAGGCACTGGAGTGTACTCTGAAGCAACCTCCTCTTCACCTTTTGTGTCAGAAAGACAAAACGTAAGGTCTGCGCAATCTAAAGAAGAGAGGTCATCTTTAGATGCTGGTTGTTTACAGTTTGGTACTCGTGGAAATGGAGGTATTAATTGAACTTCTTATTTGTAGCCTCGACCATTTATGCTAGACATAAGTTACCACATTGTCAATTACCCATATTTTCCATTTGTTGCTGGCACTGTATCTGCCACCTGATTAAATTCCCGAGCAATGTTTCGTCACATTTGGTTACTTGATGTATTCTTGAGTTAACACGTAACAGAGTATTGCTTGGTTTTAGTGACAAGCATGTTGTACTCGTTGTAATACGGTAGCAGGACTCACACAAGAAGGTAAATGAGTTTATTGAAATTTGAAAGTAAGAAGGTAGTAAACAAAGGAGTTGTTACTTATCAGCCTCATTCAACATTCTGTTGCACCACTCTGGTGCAAAATTATAAGGAACAAATAAGTGAATCAATCCTTTCCCCACTTGTTTGACTAAAGAAAAAGGGCTTATGCCATATTTTAGTAAATATGGTTCGAACTGGTTGTCTTTGGAAAAAAAAAACATAATTTATTTTTATCCTTTAAGTTAAATGTATTATTATGCCAAAAATAAAATTCTAAGGCTTTTATAATTGACCAACATGTATTATTGTTTGGTCATTAGCTTATGCATTTGCTTTTTAAGTTTTTGTTTCTGAGACTGCATCATTTAAAATATAATCATTTTATACCTTTCCCTCGTGTCTTTTCAAAGTTCAATTCTTCTAATGTCAAAGAAGGCTTTTCAGGAATAAATTGTATTTTTCCCAGTGACATAGTTCCATTCACAAGAAGACCACTTTTCCTGGTTGTTGATGGTGACAAGAATGAAGCATTTGAGGCAAGTATTATCCACCATGTTCTTAGACATCTTAGACATATTCGACTACAGTGGTTTCCAATTGTGAAATTTAGGATTTTTGATAAGGGACGTGTTGTGGAAAGAGTGCAAATTGTATTTGATGGCACGATGATTGTTTTAAGACATGATTCTGTGGTCCATAAGCTTAGCTATAACCGTCCACAAAGCAAACACTTGCCAAATATGGGTCAAAATGATCTAGATGTTTCCAAGTATGTCAGAATGCATCCCGGTTAATTAGGCAAAGTTAGTTTAACCACGAACCATTAGTTATGTAGATGAAGAGATATAACTGTTAATTGAGCCAAAATGTGGGTAAAATCAATCAATTTTAGATGTTGTCAGGGTATGTTACGGTGAACTCCAGTTAGTCAGACTAAGTTATTTTACCCCTTGAACCATTAATCTGTAGCTGAGATAGACTTTCAGTTCAGGCTTTGCTAATGCCGATGACCTTAAAGCCCTAAGGTGTAAACTTAATCTTCTGTAATCATCTTGATCATTTATTCCTTTGCAAGATTATGTTTGTTGCAATAACTCGTTTCACCTCTGATTACTTATGTTAATAAACATTGAACGAAATAGTTCAGAATTGCATATATCAAGATATCAAACATTCATGGTGTTCTATTTATTTTAGTTTTTTAGAGTTCTTGTGAAATATTATTTTCACCTATATAAAAGGTTATCCTGGTTATATGTTTAGGCTATATATGGAGCAGAAAAGGGAGAAACAGCGGCAATTCTTCTTTCTCCAAGCACTTTGTATCACTGTACCAGCGGCAATTCACCCCATCATTCAAATGGAAGTCTATTCACTGCTTTCATAACAGCTCCAGTGCAGGCTTTCTGCCTCTTGCTTGGTATTTCAGGCTCAGATGTTGAACTGGTGTGTAATACTCACCTTCTCTTGTAATGGTTGCAAAAATTTATTATTTAGTTGTTTTTCACATGACTTACGGAAACAAACGCTTCAGGATACATATTTTAAGGCTGAGAATCTGCTTTCTTCTTCCTTAAACGTCTGGGGGTCGCATCTGGTTGCAACGGACTCTCTTCATCCTGTTTGGGCACAGATTTTAGGCGATCCATTCCTAAGGCGACTTGTTTTAAGGTACTTCTTGTTTTCTAATCCAAATTTTGGGTCTGACTAAACCTTACAATTACATTGCAACTCTGAGGTGCACACATAACTTGGCATTCTTGGCTTCATTCTTGCAATTATTTATATTAGTTGAAGATTTGTTATTATTTTTAGGGTGTTTAGCACAATTGCCCGCCGAATTTGTCATGGTTTAGCAAATTGCCCTCCAAACTTTTAATTTTGACAATCAACCCCCCGAACTTATAAAATTGTTGCAATGTGTCCCATTTTACTAAAGTTGCTCAATTATTTTATAAGAAAGATTCATGTATTTTCTTCTCTGCAGGTTTCTATTCTGCCGGGCAGTTCTTGCATTATATGCTCCCACCTTCAACAAGAAGGAATTCATTCCTAGGTGCATGCCAAGTCTTCCAGAGTCTCTTTCGCCATCAACGGCCACATGTCAGACTGTAGTTGCACAGATTGCCAATGTGTTTGGTGCAACCAGCAGTTTTAGAATCTCTGAGGAAGTTGCACTTGCTGAAAATATAACACATGGTGACACAGACTCAATCTCATCTTCTTGAAGCTTGACAATGACGAGCCAAATTTGTTTGTCTTAGAATATTCATGGTTTCTGTGATTTGGTTGATATGCATATTATTCATGGATCAAGCTCAATCCATGAATATTGTTCCAGTTCTGTGTTCTCAAAGAAAATGACTCCGGAAGCACGTGGTTTTCCTGATTTTATAGGGTTTGCAGCTCATTTTTTTTCTTTTTTTCTTTCTTGCTTTCTTTTTTTTTTTTTTTAAACGAACCCGTAGTATAAAGTCATGAATATATGCAATTATTTTGATTTGAATGTATGCAATTGTTTCAATTTCCACTCACACATTATCATCCAATACAATAAATCTCACTAGTAAACCACCTTTATTGGTGAAAAAAAAAGGAAAAACAAAAAATAAGATCATCAGAGACTCAAGAGTATAAATGGCCAATTTACATTTTATGGTAGCTGTATTCCTTGTACATTTCACATTCACTGTAAAGTAAGAGATGACAATTGACAAGTGCAAACTATACTCTGAAAAATTCCATAATTCATTGGCGTGTAGACATCAGAGTTTAGCAGTTGAATTACTGACATTAACTAGTCATTGTACATTTGTATTCAATAATTTTATCAAAAGAATCATTGCTATACAGGTCGGTATTTTTAAACAATCATGACCATACAGCATGGGGACTTATAGGCCGGATCTAACTATTCTTCTAGCAAAAATGCTTTTCAATGTGTTTTCCGTTACATGATCGGGCGCTAACCCTTTCTCGATCGCGCCCTGGAGAAGCTTGAGAGCATCGTCTGTTTTATTAACCTTCATGTATCCAATGGCCAACGTATTGTAGCAAACAATATTAGGCACGATACCCTTTGGTCTCATTTGTTCAAGGATTTCCTTGGCTTCACCCACTTTACCTTGTAAACAATACCCCTTGATCAACGTACTGTAGGTTATTCCATCAGGCTTAGGACCATGTTGATTCATCCTATTGAAAAGCTTTCGAGCCTTCTCCATCATTCGTTGTTCACAAAAAGCATCCAAAATTCCATTCATGGTTACGACGTCGGGAAAAATTTTCCTACTCACCATCTCATCCATCAACTTTGTAGCTTCTTTCCACTGACGTGAATGACACAATCCGTCAATTAACACACTGTAAGTGACAAGGTCAGGTGTTATCTCTCTTTCCAGCAATAGATGAAACGCGTCGAGGGCTTCCTTCCTCCGTTGTTGCCTGAAAAGGGCGTAAATGATAATGGTGAAAGTTACAACATTCGCCGAGATGGATTCATTTTCCAATTCATCCAACAAATCAATAGCTTTTCTCAATTGGCCTGATAGGCAAAATCTACAAACTAAAGAGCTGTATGCAATGACATCAGGCTTAAGACCTCTATTGCTCAATCCTTCCATACGATAAAGTGCCTCTTCAATCCTTCCTTCCTTAAACAAAGCATCCAACAAAACATTGAATGTAACAATGCTAGAAGAGAGTTTCCAATCACTCATAGCTTCTAAGAATTTTGTTGCTGCTTCCCAACGACTATATTTGCACAATCCGTGAAACAACGAATTACAAACAAAGAGATCTGGTCGAACATCACGGTCGATCATAGCTTCAAACAAGCCAAAGGCATCATCAATTCTTCCTTCTTTCCAAAATTTAGATATTATAGGACTATAACAACTTGCATTCGGCTTAATCCCTCGGTGGCCGCACTCGTGCATATGCTCAAGCAACTCAATCGCCTTACAAGTTTCTCCAGCCTTACAGAAGCCATTAATCATAGTTGCGTAAATAACTCCGTTAAGCGGGTGCTCCTTTTCTATAATCTCAAGGAACAACTCCGCGGCCGCACCCACCGAGCCACTCAACGAGAGGCCATGGAGTAGAGTATTCAACACCCGAACATCAGGCTTAAGGCCGCGCTTAAAGACTATGGCGAAAACAGAGAAGCCCAGAGAAACATTCTTCAAACGGCAAATGGATTTGACGACAATGGCCAATGTAGTTAGATTGGGTCGAAAATGGAGGCAACCCAGATGCATCAATTCTCGGTAAAGCGAAACGACAATGGAATGGTGGTCCATCTTGGAAAGAGAAGCGAGCAAATGATTGAAAGGGGTAATGGAGGGCACAGGTCGCATTTGAACCATTGAATCAAAGAAACCAAGAGCTTGGTCTAGGGATTTGCATTGGGTTTGAATCAATTTCCACAGAGGAGTGGAAACAGAGGGATCTTTTTTGTTAGATTTGGAAGAATAAGAATGAAATTGGGTTTTGTAAATGGAAACGAGAGAAAAGAGAGAAGACTTACCAGGAGCTCTTTTACTCAGCATTTGGGGGACTTCTCTTCCCTCATACGCGGTGAGCTCTGATTTTTTCAATCTGGGCATGCCCAAAAGAAGAAGAAGAAGAAGAAGAAGAAAATTAAGAAGAAAAATGAGATTTTGGTATTACGAACTTAAACCCTAATCTTTAAACCCAAAAAACACAATATTTCGTTTTTTTATTATTAAAAAAAAGGGGCAGATAAATGGTCAAAACGTGCCGTCTCGTTGGTTTATTTATAGACTAATTACAAAAATTCTCCTCAAAATGTGCTACACTTTAACACGTAATATATGTTCCTTTAAGCAATAAAACATTAACAAATTTACCCCTACGTTAGAAATATAATAGTTTTCACACGTGACACATTAATAATAGTTGTTATTAAACAATTTTAAACACAATTATTATTTCACCCACGGACACTAATTTTTTTAATCTAGTTTATATGTAATATAGTAAAGTAATAAAAAAACACGATAAATCTTTTTCACTCCCTATTGACTCTACAAATCCCCACCTCACAATTATAGTTCCTTTTTTCTTGAGAAAAATAAGTTTCTTATTTTTCATTTGTTTATTTTTAAACGGAAAAAAATTGTATTCAATTAATAATTGACGTTTCTTGATTAAAATCAAAATTAAAATTAATTTTAAATTTAAATTAAATTTTAAATTATAAAGTTACTAAAATACTGTAAAATAATAAATTAAATATCAATTTCAGCTGAAAATCTAATGAATAGGGATTTTTTTGTAACATTTTATTTTTAAAAAGAGCGGGTGTTATGTTTTAAAGATCGGAGAATAAAGTGTTATCGTGGATTTCAAGAATAGTTTTTATAATTAATCCTATTTATTTATGCGATATTTTATTTTATTTATTTATATTATTATTATTCTTTTTCTTCTTCTTTTTGTTGGAATAAAAGCTCTTCATTCGCATCTAAACCAAAGGCTTCAGGTTTTCAAAGTTAAACTAACAAAACCCAGAAACCAAATAAAACATACATTAGTTTGGTACCTCGGAAGCTCTTTTCTGGTATTTCCTCATTTGCTTTGCCTCAAGTTCCTGTCTTTCATTTGCTCTGCCGAATATCTTGACAAAAAGTGTTTGTGGGGTTTGAACGGGTCATTTTTCATTTGAATATCGACTTCTAATAAGGTTTGTGTTTATCAGCCTATGATTATTTTTTTAAAAAAATTTGTACAACTACGGTTTTTTACCTCTCGATTTCGGTTTAGTTTTTTCTTATTATTAATAGAAAATTTCACAGATGTTCTAAGGTATTTTTCTTATTATTAATAGACAAATGTCATCATTAAAAGTCTTTCGTTGTTGTTAACAATGAAGCAAACGACATCTTTTTTATTTTATACAACAATTTATACGACAAAACTTTTAGCAACAAAACATATTGTCGCTAAAAGTCTAAAAAAATATGAATTGCCGCTTTAATTTTAGAACAATTTAAAAAAAAAAAAAAAACTGTCGTCGCTAAAAGATCCTAACAACTTAGGGCCCCCAAACGAAAAATTATTCCTGCCTATGAGTTTTAGCACTGACAAGTGTCATTGCTAATTTCTTTTTTGGGCAGCATCAAATAATTTTCCCCACCAAATTTTCATGTAGACATTAGATGATAATGTCATCTCTAAAAATTCCTTTACGTGTGAAATTTTCCTGCATACAATTCATTGTGCAAGACATAACATCGCTAAACGTGGGGCAACATTCAATCACAAACACTTTTAACAACGACCTGTTGTTGCGACTACATCGTCATCGTTATAATCGTAATTGTTAATTGACTCTTTTATCGCAGTGATAATCTGTAATCATGTAAGTGAATAGTTTATATACTTGATAATCCTTAATCATCCATAATTGACATTTTTATCTTGATAAGATTGTGTTATTTTTTATTCCGAATTTGACGGAATGATTTTATCTAGATTGTAGTAATGTTGAGGATCACTAAATAGAAACACCGGTGCATTTAGGATACAATAAACTAGGATCAAGATAGAATTATGATTCTTATGGAATTCAGTGATAAAAATCAAGTTCTATCGTTGTGGATCATTTTATGGATATTACGTTAATTCTAAGTAATTAGTTGACTCACATCTGTTTATTGTGTCTTTTAATTTGTCAATGAATGATATTAATTCCATTAATCAGCACATCGATAAGTTGGAGATCAAATATTATAAATAGTTTGGAACAATAGTGAATAAGACTATAGAGATTGGCCTCATGTCTTGATGTCTATCTGGCAAGCAAGCGGTCATAATTGTGAGGAAGGTTTTTCGTCAAATAGTCATATTTTAGCTTGGGGCAGTTGTATATATTAATTGAGGTTTCATATTAGGAAAAAAGAAGTAAATAGCAAGTAAATAATCAAAGTCATTAGTAAGTTTTAAAAATATTTGAAGCGAATAGTAGTAAATAGAAGTAAATAGTTTTAATTACTTGAAGTAAATAGCAAGTTTAATTATCTATAAGATTAATTCTACAAATGGTCCTTGAGGTTAGATCTCAATCCTATTTTAGTCTCTAATTTTTAAAACGTCTCACAATTAATCTCTAAGGTTTTATTTTATTTTAGTTTTGATCATTCTGTTAGCTAAGTGTTAAATATTTAATGAAATTTGTGAAAATTAGAAACATCTAATATATAGAGAGTAAAAATGGCCTTTCCCCCAAATCATGAAGTAAATAGCAAGTTATGAATAACCCCCGTAATTATGGAACTTTACTATGTTCAAAAGTGTTTTTGATCAATTTTCTTCGGCAACGTTTACGCCTGCTCAAGTCCTCACCTTATCAAAAGGGCTTTAGCAGACGAAAACCAAAAATCAAGAGGGCTTACATTCATAAGATTATCAATTGAGTTTAGAGAAATTTGGAGAATACAACATCCTTTAACTCCGTCTTTTAGTTTTATACCCTCCATTCTCCAACTCTTCTCTCTTAGGGTGTGTTTATTTAGGTGGAAAGGAATGAAATAAAATGGAATGAAATTCTAGTTTGATATTTGGTTGAATTTATAAGAAATGAATGATCATTAAAAAAGAATGTCCATTCACCCATTTTGAGTGAATCATCATTCCTTCCTCATATGGGAGGAATGACCATTCTAAGTTCTTTTTATTTTTTTTTCATAATTACCTTTCAATATTATAATATAATTAAAATATATTATATAGTAGTTATATCGTATAATATAATGTATAATAAAAAATTTTATAATATAATATCGTTATAATAATATAATAATTAATTTATAATATAGTTATATATTATTAACAATTTTAATAATATTGTTATATTATATATCATAATTATATAATAATAATTTTATTATATTATATTACATTTTATATATTATAATATTATAATTATATTAACAATTTTAATAATATTGTTATATTATATATCATAATTATATAATAATAATTTTATTATATTATATTACATTTTATATATTATAATATTATAATTATATTAACAATTTTAATAATATTGTTATATTATATATCATAATTATATAATAATAATTTTATTATATTATATTACATTTTATATATTATAATATTATAATTATATTAACAATTTTAATAATATTGTTATATTATATATCATAATTATATAATAATAATTTTATTATATTATATTACATTTTATATATTATAATATTATAATATTATAATTATATTAACAATTTTAATAATATTGTTATATTATATATCATAATTATATAATATATTATATAATAATAATTATATTATAATATATTACATTTTATATATTATATTAATAGATAAAATATTAGTATTATATATAGCATAAGAGTAAGTTTGTCAACATAAAAATATTCATGTTCCATTCCAGAAAATTCTTAAAATTACAACCAAACAAATGAATCAACTTTATTTTTCATTCCATTCTCATTACCATTCTCATTCTCATTTTCATTCTCATTCCCCCCCACTGTAACCAAATGCATTATTAAGGTTGTGTAACCAAACGCATCATTAAGGTTGTGCCCCCTCTTAATTTGATTTTAAAGGGAGAATAAAGGTAAGAAAGAAAATCTTTATACCCTGCACAAGAGGGGCATTCTTTTCTCCCTCGAGTTTATAATCCTGTTGGGTAGAAATTGTCATCTTCATGCTCAAAATGGAAATTCATTATACAAACTTTATCAAATGAACTTCCTTTCTGAGAATTTCATCAGCAATTAGCCACACCAAATTTTGAATAAGCCAGCAAAGTCAATATTACAAAGGGCCAACCAGATTTCCATACTTGAAATACATAACTTTTAGTCATGGCAGATTAAACAAACTTCTTAACGAAACCGAGACACTTAAGAGCAGAAACTTGCAGACAGATGTTCAGGCACACACGAGAACGGGAAGCATTTTGCAAAAAAGGATGGCTCTGGTTACCTTGGGCGTCTACAACTGAGAAACATCTGTACTCCAAATAGCAAGTATATCATCTACACTAACACCGTCAAAGTGAGTCGGTCACTTCACAGATGACAGAACTTGCCGGGAACTAGATTTTACAGTATCAAGGCGAGCCGGTAACTTCAGGTAAAAGTTCTGATATTTTGTTGAAAACATCCATTACCTGAGAAAAAAAGGAAAGAAAACACCATGTCATATAGATCATATAAAATCAAATCATAAGAAGCATGGTCAATCAACAGACTATTCATTTTTCAGTAGCTGTATTCCTTGTATATTTTACACTCACGGTAAAGTAAGAGATGACAATTGACTTATAAATTGCATAATTCATTGGTGTATAAACATCAGAGTTTAGTAGTTGAATTACTGACGGGATTTCTGTTTCCACTATGAACATTGAGTAATCATTCCACATTTGTGTGCAACAACTTACCAAAAGAATCATTCCTACACAGGTCGGTATATTTTTAAAAAATCATGATCTTACCTCATGGGGTGACTTATAGTCCGGATCTAACAAGCCTTCTAGCAAAAATGCTTTTCAAAGTGTTTTCCGTTACATGATTGGGCAGTGGGCACTAACCCTTTCTCGATCGCGCCCATGAGGACCTTGAGAGCATCGTCTGTTTTATTAACCTTCATGGAACAAATGGCCAACGTATTGTAGCAAACAATATTAGGCACAATACCCTTTGATCCCATTTGTTCAAGGATTTCCTTCGCTTTACCCACTTCACCTTGTAAACAATACCCCTTGATCAATGTACTGTAGGTTATTCTATCAGGCTTAGGACCATGTTGATTCATCCCATCGAAAAGCTTTCAAGCCTTTTCCACCATTCGTTGTTCACAAAAAGCATCCAAAACTCCGTTCATAGTTATGACGTCGGGAAAAATTACTTACCATCTCATCAATCAACCTTATAGCTTCTTCCCATTGACATTAATGACACAATCTGTCAATTAACACGCTGTAAGTGACAAGGTCCGGTGTTATATCTCTTTCAACCATTACATGAAACATGCCGAGGGCTTCCTCCCTCGGCCTTAGCTTGAAAAGGGCATGCACAATTATGGTGAAAGCTACAAGATCCGCCGAGATGGAATCATTTTCCAATTCATCCAACAAGTCAATAGCTTTTCTCCATTGGCCTGATAGGCAAAATCCAAATCTAAAGAGCTTATGCAATGACATCAGGCTGAAGACCTTTATTACTCAATCCTTCCATAAGATGAAGTACCTCTTCAATCCTTCCTTCCTTAAACAAAGCATGCAACATAACATTGAATGTAAAAATATTAGAAGAGAGTTTCTAATCACTCATAACTTCTAGGAATTTTGCTGCTGCTTCCCAACGACTATAGGACTATCATGACATGCTGTATTAGTCTTGCCCAAGATAATAATTATCCATCAAATGTTAGAGGTCAAAATGTACAAAAGTAGGTTATTAGACTAAGAATAAATGTGAAAACAGAGTCTAGTATGATATAAGTCACCCTTTCAGTGAACTTGTGGATTCATTACTCTTCCTAAGGCGCCATCTTTAGTTGCAACATCTGCATTTTGGGGGGTTGCAACTAATTTGGCTTGTTGCTTGTACAAGAGGAGCTGTGATTGCTAGAGTAGTTTCTTTCACATGTTGACGGATCATGGCGCACATTTAATTTTTCAAGGCCCTCAAATCTTGGGTGTTATGACCAAAATCTTTGCGGAAGCATTAGTACTTTGATCAGTCTTTCTTGTCGTTGGGTATTCAAATCGACCCACGGTCTCAAAAGAATTCCTTATTCTTGTTTTCCATCCAATTACATTCCACCGTAGTTTTCAACTCGACACCTTCTTCGCCAAGAATTGATCATTAATGCTCTTCCCAATCTACTCCCCGAGTATAGAATTGTCCTCGCTTCTTCCTTGAGAAGGTGATGTTGTAAAAAGGCTTCTTTTCAAGAATGCTGTAGCACCTTTCCCCCTAATTATGGAACTTTATCTTCAAAAAAGAGGAAGAAAAGTGGCCTCATATCATACTAGATCTTGAGCAAAAGTGTTTTTGATAAATTTTCTTCGGCAACATTTACACCTGCTCAAGTTCTCACCTTATTAAAAGGGCTTTAGCAGACAAAAAGAAAAAATCAAGAGGGCTTACATTTATAAGATTATCAATTGCGTTTAGAGAATGGAGAATATAACATCCTTAACTCCCTCTTTTAATTTTACACCCACTAATTCTTCTATCTTAAGGTTGTGCCCCCTCTTAATTTGATTTTAAAGGGAGAATAACATGGGCATGAATATTACTCTTTAAATAAAGTTAAAAAAGAAAATCTTTGTACCCTGCACTAGAGGGGCACTCCTTTCTCCGTTGGGTTTATAATCCTATTGTGTAGAAATTGTCATCTTCATGCTCAAAATGGAAATTCGTTATCCAAACTTTATTAAATGAACCTCTTTTTAGGAAATTTCATCAGCAATTAGCCAGACAAAATTTTGAATAAGCCAGCAAGAAATACATGACTTGTAGCGCCATGGCAGATTAAACAAACTTCTTTACGCAGCCAAGACACTTCAGAGCACAAACTTGCAGACATAAAGTCAGGCAAACACGAGAACGATAAGCATTTCGCCAGTCAGGATGGGACAGGTTACCTTGTGAGTCTACAAGTGAGAAACATCTGTACTCCAGAAAACAAGTATCATCTACACTAACACTGTCAAAGTGAGCCAGTCACCACAGAACTTGCCATGGACTAGATTTACAGTATCAAGGCAAGCCTGTAACTTCAGGGAAAAATTCTGATATTTTGTTGAAAACATCCATTACCTGAGAACAAAAGGAAAGAAAACACCATGTCATATAGATTATATAAAATCAAATAATAAGAAGCATGGTCAATCACCACACTATTCATTTTACGGTAGCTGTATTCCTTGTACATTTTACACTGACGGCAAATAAGAGATGACAGTTGACAGAAAAATTGCATAATTCATTGGTGTATAAATATCAGAGTTTAGTAGTTGAATTACTGAGAGGATTTCCGTTTCCACTACAAACATTGACTAATCATTCTTCATTTGTGTGCAACAACTTAACAAAAGAATCATTCCTATACAGATCGGTATACTTTTAAAAATCATGATCTTACCTCATGGGGGAACTTATAGTCCGGATCTAACAATCCTTCTAGCAAAAATGTTTTTCAAAGTGTTTTCCGTTACATGATCGGGCGCTAACCCTTTCTCGATTGCGCCGTGGAGAAGCTTGAGAGCATTGTCTGTTTTATTAACCTTCATGTAACCAATGGCCAACGTATTGTAGCAAACAATGTTAGGCACAATACCCTTTGATCTCATTTGCTCAAGGATTTCCTTCGCTTCGCCCACTTTACCTTGTAAACAATACCCCTTGATCAATGTACTGTAGGTTATTCTATCAGGCTTAGGACCATGTTGATTCATCCTATCGAAAAGCTTTCGAGCCTTTTCCATCATTCGTTGTTCACAAAAAGCATCCAAAATTCCATTCATAGTTATGGCGTTCGGAAAAATTCTCTGATTTATCATCTCATCAATCAAACTTGTAGCTTCTTCCCATTGACATGAATGACACAATCCGTCAATTAACACACTGTAAATGACAAGGTCCGGTGTTATCTCTCTTTCAAGCATTAGATGAAACACGTCGAGGGCTTCCTTCCTCCGCTGTTGCCTGAAAAGGCCATAAATGATAATGGTGAAAGTTACAACATTCGCCGAGATGGATTCATTTTCCAATTCATCCAACAAATCGATAGCTTTTCTCCATTGGCCTGATAGGCAAAATCTACAAACTAAAGAGCTGTATGCAAGGACATCAGGCTTAAGACCTCTATTGCTCAATCCTTCCATACGATAAAGTACCTCTTCAATCCTTCCTTCCTTAAACAAAGCATCCAACAAAACATTGAATGTAAAAATACTAGAAGAGAGTTTCCAATCACTCATAGCTTCTAAGAATTTTGCTGCTGCTTCCCAACGACTATATTTGCACAATCCGTTAAACAACGAATTACAAACAAAGATATCCGGTTGAACATCACGGTTGATCATAGCTTCAAATAAGCCAAAGGCCTGATCGATTCTTCCTTCTTTCCAAAATTTAGATATTATAGGGCTATAACAACTTGCATTCGGCTTAATCCCTCGATGGTCGCACTCGTGCATATGCTCAAGCAACTCAATCGCCTTACAAGTTTCTCCAGCCTTACAGAAGCCATTAATCATAGTTGCGTAAATAACTCCGTTAAGCGGGTGCTCCTTCTCTATAATCTCAAGGAACAACTCCGCGGCCGCAGCCACCGAGCCTCTCAACGAGAGGCCATAGAGCAGAGTATTCAACACCCGAACATTGGGCTTAAGGCCGCGCTTAAAGACTATGGCGAAAACGGAAAAACCCAAAGCCATGTTCTTCAAATGACAAATGGATCTGATGACAATGGTCAATGTAGTTTGATTGGGTCGAAAATGGAGGCAACCCAGATGCATCAATTCTCGGTAGAGCGAAACGACAATGGAATGGTGGTCCATCTTGGAGAGAGAAGCGAGCAAATAATTGAAAGAGGTAACGGGTGGCACGGGTCGCATTTGAACCATCAAATCAAAGAAACCAAGAGCTTGGTCTAGGGATTTGCATTGGGTTTGAATCAATTTCCACAGAGGAGTGGAAACAGAGGAATCGTTTTTGTTAGATTTGGAAGAATGTGAATCAAATTGGGTTCTGAAAATGGAAATGAGGGAAGAGAGATAAGATTTACCTGGAGCTCTTTTGATCAGCATTTCGGTATTTTTTCGATTTGGGCATGTCAAGAAGAAGAAGAAGAATTTGGTATTATCAGAGCGTAAACCCTAATCCTTAAACCCACAAAGAATTGAACGAAATATTTCGTCTTTTTTTTTTTTTTTAGACATGAATGCTCAGACGTGCCGTTTTGTTGGTTTATTTATTTATTTACGCGATATTTTATTTTATTTATTAATATTAATATTATTACTATTATTCTTTTTCTTCTTCTTTTTGTTGGAATAAAAGGTCTTCATTATGGACAATGCCCAGTTGTAGTTGTAGTTACGGACAACTCGTGGTGGATATGGAGGGGCAAAGTTGGCTTGGTCGTGACTTCTAGGTGGCGCCGGTGGTGATTTCGGAGAAGAGAGAAAAGAACAAAGGAAGAAAATGAAAAACGGATTTAATTTGTTTTCAGATTTTCATAAAAGGATAAAAACGTTTTTGTTTTCAGTTTTTAGAAAATTTTACACCAAACGCGTTCTCTATACGCGTTTTCATTTTTTATCCTCAAAAAATGTGAAAAACAAAAAAAAAAACAAAAACAAACAGGGCCGTAAAATTTAAGGGCAAAAGTGAAGAATGACATTAAAATATGAAAGGTAATCGATGTAAATAATCCTTTCGGTAAATATAAAATTATATCAATGAAAATGTCAATACGGCAGAGATCTATAATGTACTGTTTTTGTACAACTTGCTTGTTTATGTATTTTTAAAGAAGTTTATGTATATATATATTTTAACGTTTATCAAATCTTAAAACATTAAAAACAAAATCCCCTACAAAAAGAAATATTAAATATTTAAATAAATATTTATATTTCCATTTTTTTAAATATTTCTACCGAATTTAAAGTACCAACAATATGATTGATATGGACATTTTCGCTTTCAACTTCACGATTGAGGAGGAGAGGATCATGGCCAAGTCATTGAAATTATAAGGTAATAAATAAAACAACTTGTAATCTTAACACAAAAAAATAAACGAAGAAAACAACACCAATTACATGTCGTTTTATCCGTGTAAACGATATCAAACTTAAGAAATTTAACACCAAAAACCGCACACTAGTTTATAGATTTAAACGACGCTAATCTTTAACGCCAAAAGTCACAAATCGTTCGTTTAGGTACTAAACGACGCTC